GATACTTCGACTATTTGATGCGGCCCGTGGCTTGCTTGGCGTTGGTGTGCAAGCGAGCTCCCTATGGGCCCACGAACCGGGCCACGAACCGGCCAACCGTTCCTTCGGATGCAACTTCCGGTAGGTCGAGTTCTGATGTTGCCCTGGTCCGAGATCCGGCTTAGCCTGGCTTCAGCCCGTTGAGTTCGGCTGAATCCCGCTGATAATCTGGTGTGATCTCGCTTCGTCCGTGGCCTAATTTAGGTCAGCAGCCCCACAATGGCGCTGAATCCTCCTTAATCCTTCCGACGAAGACCTCCCAGTAGTTGCCTCCTGACACCAGCGAGCCCAGGCCAACCTTTCCAGCGGCGTCAGACTGCGAGGGTCGCACCGCGGCAGGGACCCACACACCCGACGTCTCGATTTTTCCGCGACGCGGGCCCCCGACCTCCCGACCACTTCCCCAGGACTTCGAGACGCGGGCCCCCGACCTCCCGACGACTTCTCTGGCACCGGCTTCTTATCCCGAGTCGCTTCTTGACGGTCCCGAGGCCCGGCGAGGGCCCCGAGTGGCCAAGCACCGTGGAAGACCTCAGTCCCGATGTCGCCCGAGTTCTGGGGCCACCCTGAGAGAACCATGAGGAAGCCATGAGCAAACCGACGTCATGAACAAAGCAATGAAGACCGTGACTGCTTCGAGACGCCCGATGTCCGGGCAGGTCGGGCCCCGCCTCGTGCTCGCGGCGGCCCCGGGGGGGGCCCCAGAAAGGCGGGCTCGCGGGGCCCGCGGGGCCACGGCGGCCGCCACGGGCGCCAGGGAGTCCCTCGGCCTCCCAGACTTGGGTCCGGCACGTCCCTCCACAGGAGGAATAGTCAAGAATATTGAGAAGATAGTAAGGGGACGATTTCTCGACTCTGTTCGGCTGTGTTTGGACATGTGTTGGTCTCTTCTTCATGTCTCATCCGAGACCCGCCTGTAGGAGGACATGCCCAACCTAGCCCCAGGTGGGGTCCGAGTGGATGGGGTCGAAGGATCGCGCCGCACCGGTGATGCATCGACGATGCGGCTCGATGTGGGGCCCGTGCTAGGGGACGATGTGTTCAATTGGTTGTTTGATTATTTTTGAGTATTGTTTGACTATGTCTTATTTTTCGCATAAAATCGGCCTGCAGGGGGACATGCCAGACTCAATACCGGGTGGACCCAGGGAGGGGGTCTGGGGATCGATTCTGAATCTCCGGTTGTCTCGCCCCGCTCTGAGGTTCAAAACATCGGCGGGTGCACCGTGTGTGGAGGGACGGCACGCGCCCTTGCACCTGGGCGCTGGCCGAAAATTACGCGGTGGCCGACTACCGCCATGATCCGAACAGCTTTCTTTCTCTCTGTTTCCCTCCCGCCAGGCTCCAGAATCATTCTGTGCCGTTCAGAGGACTGAAGCAGATGATCCGACCCCCCCCAACTACTGCAAATACTTGGCATCGCTCGGACGTGTGCATTGTTCCTTCGGCGAGGACCATCGAGGAGCATCCTTCATCATTTGGCGAAAAAGCCACGCACGAAACCGAACAAAAACACAGGGAATGGACGTCCGAGCGATGCCCAGCATATCCCGTGTCCTCCACCGTGGCGGTCGGTTGCCGCCCCCCTGGCGATATGTGGTGGTCTGTACTCGGCGGGCCGGTCCCTCTCGGCCAGACCGGGGGCCCCAGACGGGCCCCAAACCCAGTGTTTCCCTCCTCCTCATCCCCCTCCTCCTCCTCCTCCTCCTCCTCCTCCCCCCCCTCCTCCCCCTTCTCATCTTCCTCCTCCTCCTCCTCCTCCCCCTCCTCGCCCTCCTCCTCCTCATCTTCCTCCTCCTCCTCCTCCTCCTCGCCCTGCCTCCGCCTCCGCGAACACAGCCCAGGGTGAGAATCCGCGCCCGCGCACAGAAGCATCGGAGGCAGGACGGGGCGGCGCCACCACCGCCACCACTGATGGGCCTGTTTTCCACCACCACCACCATAAGTTGGAGGGGGGAAGGAGGTGGAGGAGGAGGAGGAGGAGGAGGAGGAGGAGGAGGAGGAGGACCCCCTCCCCCTCCAACTTATGGTGGTGGTGGTGGAACACAGGCCCATCAATCACCACCACCAGGGGGGGGGGAGGGCGGCAGAGCCTCCAGCGAGGGAGCCCGCGGTGCACCCCCGCCGACCGGGCTCCTTCGCCGCCCGCGGCCCCCAGAGGCCCCGACCGCTTCCCGGGGGGGGGGGGGGGCGGAGGAGGAGAGGAGGAGGAGGAGGAGGAGGAGGAGGCGGAGGCGGAGGAGGAGGAGGAGGAGGGAGGAGGAGAGGAGGAGGAGGAGGAGGAGGGAGGAGGAGGAGGAGGAGGAGGAGGAGGAGGAGGAGGAGGAGGGAGGAGGAGGACGAGGAGGATGAGGAGGGAGGAGGAGGAGGAGGGAGGAGGAGGAGGAGGAAGGGGGGGGGGGCAGGCTGTCTCGCACTCGGTCGGTGGTGGGCGGCCCCAACGGGGGCCGCCCGACGGGCGGGCACCCACACGCATGCGCACACGCGCACACGCACACGAGCACACGCACACGAGCACACGCGCACGCGCGCGCACGCGCGCGCACGCACGCACGCACGCACACAGACACACAGACAGACAGGATACAGGACACACAGGACACTCAGGGCACACGGGGCTCACAAGACACACAGGACACATGGTAGACACATGGTAGACACAGGTCACACGTGGGACACACAGACACACACATACACACAGACACAGAGACACACACAGACGCACATACACACACACACACACGCACGCAGACGGACACACAGAGACACAACATGAGACATACACACACCGGCACACACAGTCAGACATAAACACACATGAACACACATAGACACGCAGACACACAGGCACACACGGACACACGCAGACTTACACAGACACGCACAGACACACAGAGACACAAACCAAGACGCACACAGAGACACACACACACAGACACACACACAGACACACAGACACTGCAAAACACCGACACATACAGATAGACACAGACAGACACAGACACACTTAGACACACATAGACACACACAGGCACACACACACAGACACACAGCCACACACACAGATGAACACACAGCTACACACATACACACATAGACAGACAAACAGGCGCACAGACACATCCACTGACAGACGCACATGGACACACACACACACGCAGACACACACACACAGACACGCAGACATACAGAGACACATCCACGCACACACACAGATACATTATTGGCCCAAGCCATGTTGGCCCAATCCCCGGGGCCATGTCGCTCTCGATAGTCTTGACAAGTCGTTATGTCCTTCGATGTGTCGATCAAGAACTGCGGCCTGACAAAACGATGGAGCCCTGCACTGAGGTTGCTCCGCGAAGGAATTCGGTTGGGTGTGCAACTCGTCCCAAGCCACTACATCGCGACTGTCAGCGCATTCAGAAAAAACGGGCAATGGCAGCGCGCGTTGTCAGTGCTCAGATCGATGTGGGAGGCTAAGCTGGAGCCCAACGTCATCTCTCCTACATGGCCAGTGGAAGCGCGTGCGAGCATCTCTCCGGGCCTCACGTGCACAACATCGCCCCCTGACGGCGCCACCACGGGGCCGAATCGCTCAGGCCGGTCCCAGAGGCGCTCCAGAGGGGTTCCCAGACCGTCCAAGAGCGCTCCAAGACGGCCTCAGTGGGTCCCGAGACGGCCCACGAGGGCCCGAAGCCTTCCGGGGGGGGCTCTACGACGATCCAAGAGGCAGCAAAGACGCCCCAAGAGTGCCCCGAGCGCAAGCCAAAGAGGCACAAATGGTCGAATTCACATGGGGAAGCGTATATTTTCAGCATGCCCGCCTTGTATGCTCCTCAGCAGCCCAGGACACGCCAAGAGGCCTCCCAAATCGCCCCAAGAAGACGCCAGCGGCCCCTCAGAGGGCTCCGAGACGGCCCACAAGAGGCCCAAGACGACGCCAGAGAGCTATGAAACGGCCTCACAGAACCCCAAGACGGCCCCCAGAGAGCCTCGAGGGGGCCCCAAGAAGCTGTTAAGACGCCCTCAGGCAGCCTCAAGAGAGCTCCGCGACGGTCCAAGGCCTCCCGGACGCCCCGTGACAGCCCAAAATGGCTCCAAAACGCCCCAAAACGCTCCCAGAGCAGCCCAAACAAGTTTCAGAATGGCCCGAAACAAGACCCCCACAAGGACCACCAAGCAGGCCCAGAGACGCCCGTTTAAAGAGCGATCGGTGAAGTACAAAGCTCTCTCACCAGGGCTCACCAAGGCTCCCAGGAGCTCTCCCAGGCACAGCTCCCGAGAGCGAGCGGTGACGTCGGGACACCCTTCCGACCTCTCACACAGGAGTACGCACGCACAGCACGCAAGCACGATAGATTTCCTGGGCTGTCCCCCGGAAGAGGCTCGGGGGGACAGCCCGGGAATAAGAGATAAGGCCCCCAGGATGCCGCAAGACGGCCAATGAGGGCCCCAAGAGGCCCCTTGGAGGCCGCAAGGCAGCCAACGAGGCCCCAACAGGCCCCCAGGAGCTCGATAAGAAACCCCGAGAGGCCCACTAACCGTTCCCCCAGACGGCAGCGCCCGCCATCAGGCTTCGAAGAGGCAACCGGAAAAAAGTCACCAGAGCCCTCTGGGTTTCTTTTTTCAAGGCCCCAGGTGCTTCCAAAATTGACAAGCGGCGAGACGTACACCGCAGACCCACCATAGCCGTCTGAGACGCTCCGAAGGCCGCCTAGGCGGAGGTAGAGCGGAAGGCGGACGAAGAGAAGGAAGCGGTCCAAGAGGGCCTCCGAGACGGCCCAAGACCGCTCGAAGACGCTCCAGACGAGCCGCGGCAAACAAAATCATTGATTCTTCTGTGGTTTCTGAAAGATTTCCATTTTCTCCCCATTTCCAGCGAAGACAGGCCCAATACGGCCTTTTCGAGCCAAGATTGGCACAAAATGACGCGGACGAAGTCCACGGGTTCGCCCTAGTCAGCTACAGCGCTGGGATCAGCGTGTGCGAGAAGGGCCAGCAGTGGCAGCGGGCGCGCGCCATGCTGAGCGAGATGCGGGAGGCGAAGCTGGAGCCCAACGCCATCTTTCCTATATGCAGCGGACCCGTCCCCCTCGGCGGCCACCGGCGCGGCCGCGGGGCCCCAGCGCGCCTCAAGATGGCTTGAGAGCGCTCCGAGCCGCCCCCGGAGGCCCCCAAGAGGGCCCGAAGACGGCTGAAGACTGTGCAAGAGGGCCTCCGGGGCGGGCCCCGAGCGTTCGAAGACGCCCAAGATAGCCGCCCGACTGCCCAAGAGGCCCCCAGAATGCTCCAAGTGGGCTCCAGAGAGAGCCCCAGGAGAGCCCGAAGAAGGACAAATCGTTCCAATCCCAAGGGAAAACCTACATTTCGGGAGTTCCCTTGCTTTTCGTCTTCAAAGTGTCCAACACGGCCACACAGGCCCTCAAGATCGTCCCAAGACGCCTCAGGAGGCTGCCAGGACGGCCCCAAGACGGCTCAAGACTGCGCCAGGACGGTTCCTCAGGCGCCCATGGCGGCTCCAAGAGGGGGCCAGGACAGGGTGGGAGCGCTCACGAGGGGCCCCAAGAGGGGGCCAGGAGGGCCCCTAGGGAGCCCCGACAAGGCCCCGTAACGCATGTAGTTGGGTGCTCCTCTCGCAAGCCCAAGAACCATATCAAGTACATGCGGTATGGGGCCCTCTTGGGGCCCCCTATGGGGGCGCTCTTGCGGCTCTCTTGAGGCATTCGGGCCCCTCCAAGACAGGGCCGGGCGCATTCTGCCACATAGAGGCCTCCCGTGGCAGATTGGTGGGCCTGCGCAAGGCGGCGTCCTGGTCGTCGTCGTCGTCGTCGTCGTCGTCGTCGACTCTTGGTCCCTCCCTTGGCCAGGCCTCCGCCCTGACCTCTGCGCTCTGGCGGCTCCCCCCCCTTGAACGGAAGCCGTCTCGGAGCGCCCGGGGGATTTGCAGGACGCCCCGGAGGGCCCGGGTAGCCTTTCGGGACAGATTCTCGCGCGGGAAGGTCGCTGCATTGCAAAAGAGACTATAGTGTGCACCCGTGCTTGCTGCCACTGGCGGCGGGGTTTGCCGAACCATGGGGGTCTGCATGCGACAGCCACATACCAAATGGAGGGCGACTTTGTACTCGCACAGGTCGTGGGAGCCGTTGGTCCTGAGGAACCGGCGGGGGGGGCTCGAGGGGAAGGGAATGGAGATATCCGGTCGGTGTGCGGCCTGAACTACTCAGATCGGCTCCGATGCTCGTAGTTCGTTGTCAGCGTGTCCAGTCGGTTCGGCCTCTGCGGTCCCCTCGGGCTCGCGGCTGGACGGAACTCGGAAACCTGGTGCCGCCGACGCCGTCGCCGTCGCCGCCGTGGTCGTCGCCGCCGCCGTCTTCGCCGTCGTCGCCGTCGTCTTCGTCGTCGTCCTCGTCGTCGTCGCCGTCGTCGCCTTTGCCGCCGCCGCTGTCGCCTTCGTCGTTGCCGCTACCGCCGCCGTCGTCGTCGTCGATGTCCGATGGACACGGGAACAGCGAGCGAGGCACACGGGGGGCACGCTCTCCAAGGCTCGCACCTCGAGCCTCGGGGATCGAGGCCCGAGGCAGCGTGTGGTTCTCGCCGCGCGGGCCTCCAGACGGTTCAGATACGTTCACGCTGGCGCTCGGACGCCCCAAGAGGACCCCGAGCGAATCCCAGGATGGCTCCAGAGGCCTCCAAGGCAGGCCAGGAGGCTGCCGAAACGGCTCGGGAGGAGCCCTAGCACAGCCCCGAGAGGCACAGAGGACAAGTTGGCCCGTCCTGGAGACCTGGGCCGTCTCGGCGCCCTCTTGCGGGCCTCTTAGGCCGCGCCCACCGGCCCCATTCTCACCGCGCTACCAGATAAAATTTCCATTCGGCCCCAGCGGGTCAGCCCTAGTCATCAGCTACAACGCTGGGATCAGCGCGTGCGAGAAGGGCGAGCAGTGGCAGCGGGCGCTGGCGCTGCTGAGCGAGATGCGGGAGGCGAAGCTGGAGCCCGACGTCATCAGCTACAACGCTGGGGTCAGCGCTTGCGAGAAGGGCAAGCAGTGGCAGCGGGCGCTGGCGCTGCTGAGCGAGATGCGGGAGGCGAAGCTGGAGCCCGACGTCATCAGCTACAGCGCCGCGATCAGCGCGAGCGAGAAGGGCGAGCAGTGGCAGCGGGCGCTGGCGCTGCTGAGCGAGATGCTGGAGAAGCTGGAGCCTAACGTCATCTCTCCTACATGGCCAGTGGAAGCGCGTGCGAGAATGTCTCAGGGCCTCGTGTGCACAAAATCGCCCCTTTACGGCGCCACCACTGGGCCGAATCGCTCAGGTCGGTCCCAGAGACGCTCCAGAGGGGTTCCCAGACCGTCCAAGAGCGCTCCAAGACGGCCTCAGTGGGTCCCGAGACGGCCCACGAGGGCCCGAAGCCGTCCGGGGGGGTCTCCACGACGATCCAAGAGGCCGCAAAGACGCCCCAAGAGGGCCCCGAGCGCACGCCAAAGAGGCGCAAATCGTCAAATTTCGATGTGAAAGCGTATAATTTCAGCATGCCCGCCTTGTGCGCTCCTCAGCGGCCCAGGACACGCCAAGATGCCTCCCAAATCGCCCCAAGAAGACGCCAGCGGCCCCTCAGAGGGCTCCAGAGAGCTCTGAAACGGCCTCCCAGAACCCCAAGACGGCCCCAAGAGAACTCCGAGAGAGCTCCAAGACGGTCCAAGGCCTCCCAAACGCCCCGTGACGGCCCAAAATGGCCCCAAAACGTCCCAAAACGCTCCCAGAGCAGCCCAAACAAGCTTCAGGAAAAAAAACCCACAAGGACCACCAAGCAGGCCCAGAGCCGCCCACTAAAAGAGCGATCGGTGAAGTAAGCTCTGCTCACCAAGGCTTCCAAGAGCAAGGCAGCGTAGAGAGCTCTCCCAGGCACAGCTCCCAAGAGCGCGCGGTGACGTCGGGACACCCTTCCGACCACTCACACAGGAGCACGCACGCAAGCACAATAGATTTCCTGGGCTGTCCCCCGGAAGAGGCTCGGGGGGACAGCCCGGGAACCGCCCCAGAGGCGCCCCAAAAAACTTCAAGAGAAAAGGCCCCCAGGAGGCCGCAAGACGGCCCAAGAGGGCCCCAAGAGGCCCCTTGGATTCCGCAAGACAGCCAACGAGGCCCCAACAGGCCCCCAGGAGCTCGAAAAGAAACCCCGAGAGGCCCACTAACCGTTCCCAAGGAGACGGCAGCGCCCACCATCAGGCTTCGAAGAGGCAACGGGAAAAAAGTCACCAGAGCCCTCTGGGTGACTTTTTTCAAGGCCCCAGGTGCTTTCAAAATTGACAAGCGGCGAGACGTACACCGCAGACCCACCATAGCCGTCTGTGACGCTCCGAAGGCTGTCTAGGCGGAGGTAGAGCGGAAGGCGGACGAAGAGAATGAAGCGGTCCAAGAGGGCCTCCGAGACGGCCCAAGACCGCTCGAAGACGCTCCAGACGAGCGGCGGCAAACGAAATCATTGATTATTCTATGGTTTCTGAAAGATTTCCACCTTCTCCCCATTCGTGCGAAGACAGGCCATAGACGGCCTTTTCGAGCCAAGACTGCCCCAAGATGACGTGGACGAAGTCCACGGGTTCGCCCTAGTCTCTACTACATTGCAGGGCCCAGTGCGTGCCAGAATGGTGCAGGCTCCAATGAACCAAAACCGCCCCGGGCTGGCTCCGGGCCGCCCAGGGAGGCCCCAAGACACGTCCAGAGGGTCCCAAAAATCCCCCAAGACGGCCCCGGAGAGCCCCGGCACGCTTAAAGATGCGCCCAAGACGTCCGAGAGTCGCCCCAGGCGGCCCTCGAGGCGTCCAAGACGCCCGAAGAGGCCTCCCAAGAGGCCTCCCAAGAGGGCCCCGAGCGACAGAAAGCGTCGATTTCTACTGTGTTTTTCGGTGTTTTCGGCCTCCTCGCCTCTTCGGCTTTCCGACGCTCCAAGACGGCCCAAGAAGTCCCCCCGACCGCTCCAAGACGGCCGAAGAGGACCCCAAGAGAGCCCCAAGACGGGCCAGGAGGGCCCCCAGACGGTCCCAAGACGCCGCAGGACGGCCCCAGGACGGCCCAGGAGGCGCCCAAGACGGCCCAAGAGGCACCCAAGACGGCCCCAGGAGCGGCCCAAGACGGCCCAAGACAGCCCAAGAGCGCCCAAGACGCCCGAGATTCGCCCCAGGAGGCCCTCGAGGCGTCCAAGACGCCCGAAGAGGCCTCCCAAGAGGCCTCCCAAGAGGGCCCCGAGCGACAGAAATCGTCGATTTCTATTGTGTTTTTCAATGTTTTTGGCCTCCTCGCCTCGTCGGCTTTCCGACGCTCCAAGACGGCCCAAGACGCCCCCCCGACCGCTCCAAGACGGCCGAAGAGGATACCAAGAGAGCCCCAAGACGGGCCAGGAGGGCCCCCAGACGGTCCCAAGACGCCGCAGGACGGCCCCAGGACGGCCCAGGAGGCGCCCAAGACGGCCCAAGAGGCACCCAAGACGGCCCCAGGAGCGGCCCAAGACGGCCCAAGACAGCCCAAGAGCGCCCAAGACGTCCGAGATTCGCCCCAGGAGGCCCTCGAGGCGTCCAAGACGCCCGAAGAGGCCTCCCAAGAGGCCTCCCAAGAGGGCCCCGAGCGACAGAAATCGTCGATTTCTATTGTGTTTGTCAATGTTTTCGGCCTCCTCGCCTCGTCGCCTTCCCGACGCTCCAAGACGGCCCAAGACGCCCCCCCGACCGCTCCAAGACGGCCGAAGAGGACCCCAAGAGAGCCCCAAGACGGGCCAGGAGGGCCCCAAGACGGTCCCAAGACGCCGCAGGACGGCGTCCGGACGGCCCAGGAGGCGCCCAAGACGGCCCAAGAGGCACCCAAGACGGCCCCAGGAGCGGCCCAAGACGGCCCACGACAGCCGAAGAGGCGCCAAGGAGGGCCTCAGATGGCCCGAAGACGGCCCAAGAGGCACCCAAGACGGCCCGAGAGAGCCCTAAGAGCCCCCCCGCGAGGCCCAAACGAAGGCCGAAGAGGCTCCGAAACGGCCCCTACGAAGCCTTCAGTGCCTTCAGAATTCCTTCCAGGAGCGGGGGAGCGGACGAGAGGCGACCGGCATATCGAAGGCACAAAAGAACAATGTTGGACGCTCCGAGGGCCTTCGATGTTTCTCTGTTGGGGAGAGTCGTCGTAGGATCGACGATTGCCGACCGAGGGCATGGAGAATCCAGCGAAAGAGGAGAAGAAGGTGGAAGGAGGAGGAGGAGGAGGAGGAGGAGGAGGAGGAGGAGCCCGACGCCATCATGATTGCCTTTCGGCCCTGCAGCCGCACCCCCCCGCGCTTGCCCAGAGACCCCTCGCCACGTCGAGCTGATGTCGTGGACGGAGTCCACAGGTCTGCCCTAGTCAGCTACAACGCTGGGATCAGCGCGTGCGAGAAAGGCGAGCAGTGGCAGCGGGCGCTGGCGCTGCTGAGCGAGATGCGGGAGGCGAAGCTGGAGCCCGACGTCATCAGCTACAGCGCTGGGATCAGCGCGTGCGAGAAGAGCGAGCAGTGGCAGCGGGCACTTGCGCTGCTGAGCGAGATGCAGGATGCGAAGCTGGAGCCCAACGTCATCAGCTACAACGCTGGGATCAGCGCGAGCGAGAAGGGCGAGCAGTGGCAGCCAGCGCTGGCGCTGTTGAGCAAGATGCGGAAGGCGAAGCTGTTGCCCAACGTCATCAGCTACAACGCTGGGATCAGCGCGTGCGAGAAAGGCGAGCAGTGGCAGCGGGCACTTGCGCTGCTGAGCGAGATGCGGAAGGCCAAACTGGAGCCCAACGTCATCAGCTACAATTCTGGGATCAGCGCGTGCGAGATGGGCGAGCAGTGGCAGCGGGCACTGGCGCTGCTGAGCGAGATGCGGGAGGCGAAGCTGGAGCCCGACGTCATCAGCTACATCGTTGGGGTCAGCGCGTGCGAGAAAGGCGGGCAGTGGCAGCCTGCACTGGCGTTGCTGAGCGAGATCTGGGAAGTACGGCTCGAGCCCAATGCTATCAGCTACAACGCTGGGATCAGCGCGTGCGAGAAGGGCGAGCAGTGGCAGCGGGCGCTGGCTCTGCTGAGCGAGATGCGGGAGGCGAAGTTGGAGCCCGACGTCATCAGCTATAACGCTGGGGTCAGCGCGTGCGAGAAGTGCGGGCAGCGGCAGCCTGCGCTGGCGTTGCTGAGAGAGATCTTGGAAGTACAGCTCGAGCCCAACGTCATCAGCTACAGCGCTGGGATCAGCGCTTGCGAGAAGAGCGGGCAGTGGCAGCGGGCGCTGGCGCTGCTGAGCGAGATGCGGGAGGCGAAGTTGGAGCCCGACGTCATCTAACCTAAAATACCGGGCATTGCGCGTGCGAGAAGGGCCATTTGCGGGCACCCTCGCCTGGCCCTGGGGGGGCGGCACCTCGGCGGCTCCGCTCGTGGGGACGGTCCATGAGGGCCCCCAGAGAGCCCACGGTGGCTTCTTGGGAGCCGTAAGAGAGCCCAAGACGGCCAAAGAGGCCTCCACGACGGCCCAAGTGGCGTCCCAGGAGGGCCCCAACAGGCCAAAATCATTGATTTTCTAAAGGAAAACGTACATTTTGAGCATATGCGGCTTCTCGGTCGGCTTTCATGGCGCTGAAGACGGTCCAAGAGGCCCCCAAGACCGCCCCAAGACGGCCCAAGAGGCCCCCAAGAGAAGAGGCCCCCCAAACGGCCCGAGAGGGCGCCAAGACGGCCCAAGACGCGCCCAAGACTGCCCGAGATGGCCCCAAGACGGCCCCAAGAGGGGGACCTCGAATCCAAGATCCCGGCCTTCCGCCCCAAGAGGCCCCGAGAGACCCCCGAGAGGCCCAAAAGAGGTCCTAAGATGCCCCCAAACGGCCCGAAAAGGCTTCGAAACTGCCTCCGAGAGGCCCGCGAGAAGCCTCCCCAGAAGGCCAACTCTGGAACAACCCCCCCATCTGGCCCAGCACGGCACCTGAGGTTTCCGAAATCGGCCCACCGTTGCCCGGGTGGACTCCCAGGAAGCCCTGAAATTTCATATTTCATTGAAGCCCCGTCGGATGGGAAAACACACACACACACACCACACCTCTTGGGACACCTCTCGCATCGTAACTCACGCCTCCTGGGACACGCGGCGTGCGAGAGAGGCCTCCGAAAACAGCGTCCCTGGGTGCTGCGGGGGGGCCCGGACGAATTTTTGGCAAGCCCTCCCGAGGAAGAGTTGTCCCATGAGGTGCGGGGTATTGTTTTTTATTCACAGGTGGACATCCTCCTCTCTTGGAACCGTCTTGGGGCTCCTTTGGAGCTTTCTTGGGGCCCTCTTGGGGCCATCTTGGGGGCCCCAAGAGGGGCCTACAACCTGTCACGAAGACGGCCCCTTTTCGGGACAAGTTGTTGGGTCTTTTTCAAACCCTCTTGGGGCCCTCTTAGGGCAGTCTTGGGTCCTCCTGAGGGGGTCCTATGGGGGCTGAGGGCCCCCTGAGAGCTCTAGCCGACTTGTCCCCTCGTCTAGAGCTCTGGGGGGCTCACTTTGGGCCCTCTTGGGGCCCTCTGGAACAGTCTTGGGGCCCCTTTGGAGCTTTCTCGGGGCCCTCTTGGGGCCATCTTGGGCTGGAAGGGGATGGCCGAAAAACCTTTCAGACCGAGCCGCCAACGCCCTGGAACGCTTTTTCTTGGACTACTCCCGCACGGCGCGTGTTCCGCAGGTACGGGGTATGTTTTTTCATACAGGTTACACTCCCTTCCTCGACCTCCTTCTCCTCTTTGCCCACGGTTCCCTCTGCACAGTGGCTGCCGTCGTTTGCCAGTCTCGTCGCTCCACCCACCTCTCGGGTTACTGCCGATGCTGCCATATCCGATGCTGCTGCAAACGATGCTCTCGGCGCCGACAAGATCATCGAGCATCCAGTTCGCCCTGAAGCACTACGCAGCAGCATGCGCCCTAGTCCACAGGTCAGCCCTAGTCTAATCTACAATACCGGGCATTGCACGTGCGAGAAGGATCATTGGGGGCACCCTCGCCGGGCCCGGGGGGGCGGCACCTCGGCGGCTCCGCTCTTCGGGATGGTCCACGAGGGCTTCCAGAGAGCCCATAGTGGATTCTTGGGAGCCCCAAGAGAGCCCAAGACGGCCAACGAGGCCTCCACGACGACCCAAGAGACGCCCAAGTGGCGTCCCAGGAGGGCCCCAACAGGCCAAAATCATTGATTCTCTGAAAGAAAACTTACATTTTGAGCATATGCGGCTTCTCGGCTTCCATGGCGCTGAAGTCGGTCCAAGAGGCCCCCAAGACCGCCCCAAGACGGCCCAAGAGGCCCCCAAGAGGCCCCCCCAACGGCCCAAGAGGGCGCCAAGACGGCCCAAGACGCGCCCAAGACAGCCCAAGGGGGCCCCAAGACGGCCCCAAGAGGGGGACCTCGAATCCAAGATTCCAGCCTTCCGCCCCAAGACGCCCCCAAGAGGCCCCCAAGAGGCCCCGAGAGACCCCCGAGAGGCCCAAAAGAGGCCCTAAGATGCCCCCAAACGGCCCGAAAAGGTTTCGAAACTGCCTCCGAGAGGCCCGCGAGAAGCCTCCCCAGAAGGCCAACTCTGGAACAACCCCCCCATCTGGCCCAGCACGGCACCTGAGGTTTCCGAAATCGGCCCACCGTTGCCCGGGTGGACTCCCAGGAAGCCCTGAAATTTCATATTTCACTGAAGCCCCGTCGGATTGGAAAAACACACACACACCACCTCTTGGGACACCTCTCGCATCGTACCTCACGCCTCCTGGGACACGCGGCGTGCGAGAGAGGCCTCCGAAAACAGCGTCCCTGGGTGCCGCGGGGGGGCCCGGACGAATTTTTGGCAAGCCCTCCCGAGGAAGAGTTGTCCCATGAGGTGCGGGGTATTTTTTTTTCACAGGTGGACATCCTCCTCTCTTGGAACCGTCTTGGGGCTCCTTTGGAGCTTTCTTGGGGCCCTCTTGGGGCCTTCTTGGGGGCCCCAAGAGGCCTACAACCTGTCACGAAGACGGCCCCTTTTCGGAACAAGTTGTTGGGCCTTTTTCAAACCCTCTTGGGGCCCTCTTGGGGCAGTCTTGGGTCCTCCTGAGGGGGTCCTATGGGGGCTGAGGGCCCCCTGAGAGCTCTAGCCGACTTGGCCCCTCGTCTAGAGCTCTGGGGGGCTCACTTTGGGCCCTCTTGGGGCCCTCTGGAACAGTCTTGGGGCCCCTTTGGAGCTTTCTTGGGGCCCTCTTGGGCCATCTTGGGCTGCAAGGGGATGGCCAAAGACCCTTCAGACCGAGCCGCCAACGCCCCAAAACCGTTTTTGCTGGGACTACTCCCGCACGGCGAATGTTCCAGCAGGTACGGGGTATGTTTTTTCATACAGGTTACACTCCCTTCCTCGACCTCCTTCTCCTCTTTGCCCACGGTTCCCTCTGCACAGTGGCTGCCGTCGTTTGCCAGTCTCGTCGCTCCACCCACCTCTCGGGTTACTGCCGATGCTGCCATATCCGATGCTGCTGCAAAAGATGCTCTCGGCGCCGACAAGATCATCGAGCACCCAGTTCGACCTGAAGCACTACGCAGCAGCATGTGCCCTCCCAATACATTAGCAATCGTGGACGGTAGTCCACAGGTCAGCTCTAGTCAGCTACAACGCTGGAGTCAGCGCTTGCGAGAAGGGCGGGCAGTGGCAGCCTGCGCTGGCGCTGCTGAGCGAGATCTGGGAAGTACAGCTCGAGCCCAACGTCATCAGCTACAGCGCTGGGATCAGCGCTTGCGAGAAGGGCGGGCAGTGGCAGCCTGCGCTGGCGCTGCTGAGCGAGATGCGGGAGGCGAAGTTGGCGCCCAACGTCATCTTCTCTACAATGCAGGGACCCGTGCGTGCGGGAAGGGTCCCTGTCTTGATCGAGCGAAAATGCCCCACAACGGTTCCGGGAACGCCCCAGAGGCGCTCACGCGGCCCAAGAGGCGCCCAGGACGGCCCCAGACACCCCCAAAACGGCCCAAGAGCGCTCCAAGAGAGCTCAAGACCGCCGAAAACGGCCCCGACAAGGCCCAGGCGGCCTCCACGACGGCCCCAGAGACGCCCAAGAGGCGTCCCAGGATGGCCCCCACAGGCCCAAATCATTGTTTTTCCGACGAAAAGCGTCAAATTTTAGCACACACTGCTTGTCGGGAATACGGCGCAGAAGATGGGACAAGAGGTCCCACGACCGCCCCAAAGACGGCCCAAGAGGCCCCCCAGAGGCACGAACACCGGCCCGAGAGAGCGTCAAGAGACCCAAGAGGCGCCCAACACGGCCCCCAGGCGGCCCCAAGAGGCTCCCAGGAGGCGCCCAGGACGGCCCCACACACCCCCAAGACGGCCCAAGAGCGCTCCAAGAGAGCCCAAGACCGCCGTAAACAAACCCAAGACGGCCCAGGAGGCCTCCACGACGGCCCCAGAGACGCCCAAGAGGCGTCCAAGGATGGCCCCAAGAGGCGAAAACCATTGTTTTCCAGAAGAAAAACGCTCACTTCTAGCATGCGCTGCTTGTCGGGAATCTGGCGCAGAATCGGGTTCCAGGTCCCCACGGCCGCCCCAAGACGGCCCAAGAGGCCCCCAAGCCGCACGAAAACCGGCCCGAGAGGGCGTCAAGAGAGCCCAAGAGGCGCCCCAAACGGCACCAGGGCGACACCTAGAGGCTCCCAGGACGGCCCAAGGTATCCCATTTTTTCGGCACCGCTCACGGAGATCCTGGCCCCCGAGCGTCATAGATCGAGCCCTCCGCCCAAAGACGCGCCGAAGTGGCCATAAGAGGCTCCAAGGAGCGCCCAGGAGGCCCCCAACAAGGCCCAAGAGGCTTCCAAGAGCCTCCCACAGTCCTCCGAAGCATGCCCCCAGAATCCAAGATCCTTAATTTTTCAATGGTGTTTGAAGGAGTTTTGCCTTCTCGCCTTCTCGGCTAGCCGACGCTCCAAGACGGCCGCAGAGACCCACAAGACCGCCCCAGGACGGCCCAACAGGCCTCCAAGCGCGTCCCCAGACGGCCCAGTGAGCCCCAAGATGGCCCAAGAGGCCCAAGCCAGGTCCAAGAGGGGGCCAAAGAACAGGGAAAAACCTTGGCATTCCGAGCCCTGGGCCCCCATACGCCCACACAAGGCCCCAAGAGCGCCCCAAGACGCCCCGAGGAGGGCCCCCAAACGGCCCGAGTGCCCCGGGGTGGCTCCAGAGGCGCCCGAGACGGCTTAAGAGACACCCAAGACAACCCGAAGAGCGCCCAATAACAGCCCAAGATGGCCCCAAGACGGCCCCAAGATGGCTCCAGAGGCGCCCAAGACGGCCCAAGAGGCACTCCAGATGGCCCAAGAGGGCCCCGAGAGACCCCCAGGAGGACAAAAAACAGCCCCCAAACGGCCCCCAAGAGGCCTTGAATGCTTCCTGTTGAGGAGCGTCGAACTTCCAGCGTCGTCTTAGGGACTTTTTGGGACCCTCTGGGAGCCATCTCTAGGCTTTTTGGGGGCGTTTGGGGGCGGTGCGCTCGAACGGTCGCTTCGTGTCCTCGCATTGAGACCCGTCTTAGGGAGTTCGTGGGGCCCTCTTGGGCCGTCTTGGAAGCCTCTTGGTCCGTCCCGGAGACTTCTTGGGCCGTCTCGGCGCCTTCTTGCGGGTCTCTTAGGCCGCGCCCACCAGTCCCATTCTCACCGCACTACCAGATAAAATTATCATTCGGCCCTGGCGAAGAGCAGATACAATTATCACGGCGACCCACACCGCAAAAACTATTACGAACACAGAGCGCGGCGTGCGAAACAGCTACATCATGTCGTGCATGGGTGTGCGTCCATTGATACCGCCTCCCCCATCGCGTTCCTGCCTTCAGGCCTGCCTGACTGCATCCCTCGCCTACCTCGCCCTCCAGCGGCCACATCCTCCATCCATGCCGTCCCCTCCAACCTCCCCCCCCCGCGAGGCCCCCTTCCACGTCCACGCCATGGCGGGCAGATTCCGCGGCCGGAAGGCCGCGGGTCAGCCGTAGTCTCTACTACATTGCAGGGGCACGTGCGTGCGGGAAGGGCGCAGGCTCCAATGTCTCAAAACCGCCCCGGGCTGGCCCCGGGCCGCCCCGGGCCGCCCAGGCAGGCCCCAGGACATGTCGAGAGGGCCCCCAGAAGCCCCCAAGACGGCCCCGGAGAGCCCCGGCACGCTTAAAGATGGACCCGAGACTCCCGAGATTCGCCCCAGGCGGCCCAAGAGGCGTCCAAGACGCCCGAAGAGGCCCCCCAAGAGGCCTCCCAAGAGGGCCCCGAGCGCCAGAAATCGTAGATTTCTACTGTGTTTTTCGATGTTTTCGGCCTCCTCGCCTCGTCGGCTTCCCGACGCTCCAAGACGGCCCAAGAAGCCCCCCCGACCGCTCCAAGACGGCCGAAGAGGACCCCAAGAGAGCCCCAAGACGGGCCAGGAGGGCCCCCAGACGGTCCCAAGACGCCCCAGGACGGCCCCCGGACGGCCCAGGAGGCGCCCAAGACGGCCCAAGAGGCACCCAAGACGACCCCAGGAGCGGCCCAAGACGGCCCACGACAGCCCAAGAGGCGCCGAGGCGGGTCTCAGACGGCCCCAAGACGGCCCAAGAGGCACCCAAGACGGCCCGAGAGGGCCCTAAGAGCCCCCCTGGGAGGCCCAAACGAAGGCCGAAGAGGCTCCGAAACTGCCCCCACGAAGCCTTCAGTGCCTCCAGAATTCCCTCCAGGAGCGGGGGAGCGGACGAGAGGCGACAGGCATATCGCAGGCAAAAACGCCCCAAGAGATCCCCAAACGGCCCCCACGAAGCCCTAAGTGGCCTCAGAATTGCTTCCAGGAGGGGGGGAGCGGACGAGAGGCGACCGGCATATCGAAGGCACAAAAGAACAATGTTGGACGCTCCGAGGGCCTTCGATGTTTCTCCGTTGGGGAGAGTCGTCGTAGGATCGACGATTGCCGACCGAGGGCAGCGAATCCAGTGGAGGCCCAAGAGGCCCCCAGGAGCCCAAAAGAGATCCCCAAGAGGTGCCACGGGGCTTAAAAACTGCTTCGAAGCGAGGGGGGCGGACGAGGGGACCGCCTCAGGAGGTTTTGGACGGTTTTGGGCCTCAAAATCGTCCGCTTTACGACGGTTTAGAGCGCCCCAAGACAGCCCAAGAGGGCCCCAAGACGACCCAAGAGACGCTCAAGACGGCCCACGAGGGCCCGAAGACAGGCCCAAGAGGGGGCCAAGAGGGGGACCACGGACCGAAAATCCGAGCCTTCCGCCCCAAGAGGGCGCCAGGAGGCCCAAACAGGCCCCCAAGAGGCCCCAAGGGGCCGCCAAGAATCCCCCGAAGAGGCCCCAGGAGGCTCCCAAGGAGCCCAAACGAGGCCCCTACAGAGGCCCCAACAGCTTCCAAAATGGCCCCGAAGAGGCCTCGAGCCCGCCTCCGAGCTTCCTCGCCGCGAGGGTGCCAACACGGCCCCAGACCGGCCCAGGACGGCCCAAGGCGCGCTCAAGACGGCCCAAGACGATTCCAAGACGGTCCCAGGAGGGTGCGCCCAGGACGGCCCAAGGACGCGCCCGTTCGGGGCCTCAAGACGGGCCAAGATGGCAAGAGAGTCCCAGCTGGCAAAAATCGTTAATTTTCCATTGTTTACTGTTACACCCTTTGCGTTTCCCGCCGTTTCGGCGGTCCGATGCACCAAGAGGCCCCAGAAAGTCCCAGGAGGGTCCGAGGAACCGTCCAGGAAGGCCCCAAGACGGGCCAAGACGGACCCAGCACAACCCAAGGCGCGCTGCGACGGCTCAAGACGGCTCCAAGACAGCCCCAAGAGGGTGCCAACACGGCCCCTGCTGGGCCCAGGACGGCCCAAGGAGGCGCACAGGAGGGGCCCAAGACGACTCCAAGGCGGCCTCCTCACGGTCCCAGACGGCTCCAAGACAGCCCCACGAGGACCCCGATGGGCCCAGGACGGCCTACGGACGCGCCCATGAGGGGCCCACGACGAACCAAGACGGCCCCATCAGGGCAAACGGCGCCCTCAAGACGGGCCTAGACGGCTCCAAGACGGCCCTTTGAGGGAGCCAACGCGGCCCCACACCCTTCGGGCGCACACTTGGGGGGGCTGGGAGCTTGCGACAAGTCTCCCACATTCATTGTCCTGCCCCATTCTGTTCGCCTGGAGGCCTCCTCCAACCCTGTGGGCGAACAAGAGGAATCCCAGCGGGACGCCAACCCTGGGGCCCGTGGGCCCCGCGCCGCTTGGGCAGAAGACGAACGCCGGGTCTGACAGGCCAGCTACCGCCCCCCTTTGCCCGATATGCTGTGCCATTCTGTTCCCCCAGGGGCCTTGGCAAACTCTTCGGGCCAAGCAGACCGGACCCCTGGGACAGCAGCCAATTGATATGACCCTGGGACCTCTCCGCATTCTTCGGACGAGCATCTGGGGGGCCCAGGAGATTCGGACATGTCTTCCCCATTCCTTGCCCTGTCCCGTTCTGTTCGCCCGAAGGCCTCCACAGACACTCTGGGCGAACAGAATGGGACATGGCGAACAAACCCTCCCGTTGGCGGTGATGCGACTGGATCGCACCATCAAGGCGCGCCCGGAGGTGATGGCCGACCCAACAGCGGTTTCTCTTAAGAGTTCACTGGATTTCAAATTTTCTTGAAGCTCTCTTGGGCCCTCCCTGTAGATCCTTGCGAGCCTCCCCGGCGCTTTCGGTGGCTTTCCCCGATGGCCTCCCGAGCCCTTCCCCGAGCGCTCCTTAGACGCCTCAGATGGGCTTCGACTTCGACGCACATCCCCGAGAGACTTCGAAACTGTCCTCAATAGGAGGGGGGTGAACGAGCAGTGCGCTGGGCCAAGCTGCTGCAGCGCTGCAAGAGCTCGGACACGAAGGCGCGGTCTCGCTGCCGCCGCCCGAGCCGCCGCCGTGTTTGTAGATTTTCGGTACAATCTGCGCCGTTCCTCCGAGAACCATTCCGGAAAGATGTCGTGGACGGAGTCCACGGGTCAGCCCTAGTCTCTACTACATTGCAGGAGCATCAGCTACAACGCGGGGGTCAGCGCGTGCGAGAAGGGCGGGCAGTGGCAGCCTGCGCTGGCGCTGCTGAGCGAGATCTGGGAAGTACAGCTCGAGCCCAACGTCATCAGCTACAGCGCTGGGATCAGCGCTTGCGAGAAGAGCGGGCAGTGGCAGCCTGCGCTGGCGCTGCTGAGCGAGATGCGGGAAGCAAAGCTGGAGCCCGACGTCATCTGTAGTACAAGTCTGGCCGAAGCGTGTGCGAGTACAGTCGGGACCCTGAAGAAGGAACCCTTTTCGTTGGGGAGGGGCTCCGCGTTCCTTAAGTGTTTCGCAGCTTGCCTCAGGTTCTCCTTATGTTTTCGATCGGAAATCGAAGTTCAACTTATGGAAAAAAGGGGCCTCGTGCGGGAAGCAAAGCTGGAGCCCGACGACATCTTTCCTACAACGCCGGGACCACTGCTCGTGCCTCCCGGGATCGATGGCAGCGGACTGGCCCTGGGCCGCTCCGGGCAGGCCCCCGGGGACCCCGGGCCGCTCTGTCAGAGCCCCGAGTCATCAGGGGTGGCTCGGGTCAGGGATAACTCGGGTTCGTTTTTCGGAAATCCAAACCCGAGTTACCCCGGACCCGAGTTACCCCGGATAACTCGGGCGTCCAGAGCTCCACATCATCAGGGGTAACTCGGGTCAGGGCTAACTCGGGTTCCTTTTTCCGGAATCCAAACCCGAGTTACCCCAGACCCGAGTTACCCCGGATAACTCGGGCGCCCAACTCTGGGCGGCTGGCGGGGCCGCCGCGGTGCCCCGATCGTGCAGCGGACCGTTCAAGACTGCCGAAGGTCGCGGCGGCACGCCCCGCAGACGGCTCCAGGGTGCCACCGGGCGCCCCCAGGCCGCCCCAAGAGGCCCCCAAGAGGACCCCCAAGACGCAGACAGCGGCTCATTCCTTGGGGAAAAGGTGCCTTTTTGGCTTTTCGGCGCACTCGCTCTCTGGGTCGGCACAGCTTCCAGCTGGCCGAGGCGGCCCCCCAAGACCGCCCCGACACGGCCCAAGACCGCCCCAACACGGACTCGATGGCGATCCGCGGTCCGGCGAGTACCCATACTCAAAGAAGGTGGTTGCCCAGTCGAGCCCGAAGGGCTCCACCGACGCCTGCGACCTCGTGCCGGTGCGCCTCACCCAGTCGCGGAGGAGGAGGAGGCGGAGGAGTAGGAGGAGGTGGTAGAGGAGGAGGAGGAGGAGGAGGAGGAGGAGGAGGAGGAGGAGGAGGAGGAGGTAGAAGGCTGCATGGCCAGCATGCTAAAACCGCCATTGCGCGCAGGGCAGCGCGCAAAAGCGTGACAGTATGCGTGGGCGATTTTTGCACCCCTGCGTGCGAGTCGGCTGTCGTAGACGTAATGTTAAGTCGGGCGTGTTCCTATAAAGGCGGAATATTCAAATATAGTTTTGAACATAGTCTGAGGACGATTTTTGTCAAATGTTCAATGTTTAAAATATTTTGGACTATTTTTCATTTTTCCCTCAAAATCCGCCTGTGGGGTGGGGGGGGACACGCCCGACCTAAACGTAATGCCACGGGTCAGCCGTAGTCAGCTACACTGCTGCGACCTGCTGCGATCTGGGAGTACAGTCTGGAGAAAAATGAGATCGTTAGCCATTTGGGCCTTGCAGCGTATGAGAGGTCGTCTCAGACCTCGGCAGGATTCCCAGGCTATCTTGACATCGGTCTTTCGCGTTTTCGAGTGTCTTGCGAAGCGCTGCGCGTGCGGGAAACTGTTGGGCAACCCCTGTGATCAGGTGGACGGACATCCTTCTTTGGAATTTGGCAGCGGTTCTCCATACCGCAGGAAGCCTCGCTTCAGAGACCATTACATAAGCTGGCCGCCCTGGTTGGCTACAGCGCTGAGAACAGAACGTGTGAGAGAGTCGAGCAGGCCTCTGAAAGAGCGTCCCACGGCGCCCAACATTTACCCGGATTGCCTTAAGATGCCGTCGATGAGCCCGAGATGGTCCGCAGAGAGCATCGGACAGTCGAAATTGGTCAAAGTCCATAACGGTCCGTCTGTTTTCAAAACCATGTCGGGCGTTTGCAATGTTTGACAGTAAGTGGCTCCGGAATCTGCCGCAATTCCAGGGCAGCCTCGCACGCCCCCAAAAAGGTCGCCCAGCATGGTCCCGGGTGGCTTCCAAGACGGCCCAGAGAGATCTCCAGGACGGCCCTTGGCCGCCCCAGCATGCCAACCAGAAGGCCTCCTCCTCCTCCTCCTCCTCCTCTTCCTCCTCCTCCTCCTCCTCCTCCTCCTTCTCCTCCTCCTCCGCCTCCTCCTCCTCCTCCTCCTCCTCCTCCTCCTCCTCCTCCTCCTCCTCCTCCTCCTCCTCCTCCCCCTCCTCCTCCTCCTCCCCCGACGCGGCACCCGGGAGGCCCCAGGGGACGCCGCGAGGGCCCCCGGCGGCCCGAAGGTGGGGCCCCGGACCGCGGATGCCAAGGGAGGCCTCGGCAGGGGCCCCGGAGGGCCCGAAGAGGAGGCCGCGCGGCGGCCGCGCGCGCCGAGGCCGATGCCCAGAGCATCACCGCCCACCAAACCACCCCAACCCAACCTCGCCCTCGCTCCTCTCTCGCTCCTCGCTTGGAGGAGGAGGAGGAGGAGGAGGAGGAGGAGGAGGAGGAGGAGGAGGAGGAGGAGGAGGCGGCCTCTTCCGGGGTCGTGTCGCGAGCAGGGCCGGCTTGCCAGCTGTCTGTTGCTGGGCGTGCCGTGCCGTGCTGCCGCCAGCGTGCTGCATCGCGATCGGGTCGCTCCTTCCACACGTCATGCCGTGGCATGTCGTGATCGAGCTTGCCCACCCCAGATTTCTGTCGGGCCCATCCCTCTCCAGGGAGAATCTTCAAAAATAGTAAAAAATAGTCTGGGGAGGACTTTTTGAATATTCTTTCACCATCTGGGGTATTTATTTGAGTATTTTTTGTTTTTCGCCCAAAATCCCCTTGTAGGGGGACACGCTAGATGCGGAAGTACAGCCGTAGACTGTGTGCGGTGCGCTTGCCACCCTTGCATGCTGGTCAGCTTGCGTGGACGGCGGTGCACGAGTCAACCCTAACGAGTCAGCTACAGCGCTGGGATCAGCGCGTGCGAGAAGTGCGAGCAGTGGCAGCGGGCGCTGGCACTGCTGAGCGAGATGTGTTCAGTAAAGCTGGAGCCCGACGTCATCTGTAGTACAAGTCTGGCCGAAGCGTGTGCGAGTACAGTCGGGGCCCTGATGAAGGAACCCTTTTCGTTGGGGAGGGGCTCCGCGTTCCTTAAGTGTTTCGCAGCTTGCCTCAGGTATTCCTTATGTTTTCGATCGAAAATCGAAGTTTAACTTATGGAAAAAAGGGGCCTCGTTCCTTATTTTGGGTGCCTTAGGTCAAGGCCCTGACTGTAGCAGAAGCAGTGGCAGCGCCCCCCGTCCGCCCAGAGAGCCCGCGGGCTGCCCGGAGAGCTTCCGGGGCGCGTCCTCGACGGCCCCAGGAGGCCCCATGGAGCGCCCGCCGACGGCTCAAGGACCACGCCCAAGAACGCCGACTCCGACCCGACGGGAGCCCCATGACGGCACAAACAGGCCTCAGAGTCGGCCCCCGAGGACAGCGTGGACGGCGGCAAGAGGCAATAGTTGTGCGTTTTCCGAAGGTTTCGAGGGTGTTTTTGTTCCCGCCACTTCGGGCCCAGGAGGCTCCCAAGACGGCCCTGGAGGACCTCCCAGGAGAGCCCCAAGAGGCCAAAATCTTTCCATTCCCTTCGGAAACGCACATATGGCGCATTATCGTGGTCTTCGTCTCCGACGCGTCCACGACGGCCATCGAGACCCCCAAGATCGCCCTAAGATGCCCCCATGAGGGCCCCAAGACCGCCCACGACGACCCCAGGACGGCTCCTGAGGCGCCCCTGACGGCCCACGGGGTACCCAAGACAGCCTCAAGAGCGGCCCAGGACGGCCCAAGACGACCCCCCGACGGTGCCCAGACTACTCCAGAGACCCCCAAGGCGGACCCAGGCAACCCCCAGACGGCCCCGAAAACACCTCAGATGTCCTGCAGGCGGCCCAAGAGGCTTCCAAAACGCTCCAAGTGGGCTCCACGACGAGCCCCAAGAGAGCCCGAACACAAACAAATCGTCCCATTCCTTAGGGGAAACATATGTTTTGGCAGTTCCCGGGCTTGCCCTCTTCATAACGTCCACGACGGCCATACAGGGTCCCAAGATGGCCCTAGGACGGCTCCTGAGGCGCCTCTGGCGGCCCATGGGGTACCCAAGACAGCTTCAAGAGCGGCTCAGGACGGCCCAAGACGACCCCCCGACGGTGCCCAGACTGCTCCAGCGACGCCCAAGGCGGACCCAGGCAACCCCCAGACGGCCCCGAACACACCTCAGATGGCCTGGAGGCGGCCCCAGAGGCTTCCAAACCGCTCCAAGTGCTCCACGACGAGCCCCAAGCGAGCCCGAACACTGAAAAGTCGTCCCATTCCTTAGGGAAAACGTGCATTTTGTCAGTTCCTGGGCTTGCCCTCTTCATAGCGTCCACGACGGCCATACAGTTGCCCAAAATGGCGCACGGACGGCTCCGAGAGGCTCCAAGGGGCGCCAAGACGGCCTCAGAGCACCCCTTGGAAACCCCAAGACAGAAGACCCAGAGGCCCCCGAGGCAGGCCAGGAGGCCCCCAAGATTGCTCAGGAGGGCCTCCAGGAGAGCCCCAAGCCAAAATCGTCCCAGTCCCTGCGGGAAAACGCACATTTTCACTATGTATTGTTCTTTCGTCCTCACAGCGTCCACGACGGCTATACAGGCCCCCCAGCTCGCCCCACACCGCTCCCAGAGGCCCCCAGGAGCGCTCCAAAGTGGCCCCACACGGCCCCAGGACGGCTCAAGGGGCGCCCGACACGGCCCAAGACGCACCCAAGACAGCCCCAAGAGCAGTTCATTATGGCCCACGACGGCCCCACCGCCCCGTCTCCAAGATGGTTGTACAGGCCCCCGCCGCCTCGTCTCCAAGCCTTTCCGTTTGCACAGTCTCCACGACGGCTGGCTGTACAGGCCCCCAGATCGCCCAAGATGCTCCTAGACGCCCCCAAGAGGACCCCAAAACGGCCCGAGACGGCCCCGGGACGGCTCCCGAGGCGCCCGAGATGGTTCAAGAAACACCGAAGGCAGCCCCAAGAGCTCGGCCCAAGACGACCCCAATACGGCCCCAAGATGGTCCGACAGGCGCCCGAGACGGCCCCACATCGCCCCAAGACGGCCCAAGAGGCCCTCAAGACGGCCCAAAAGGGCACCAAGAGAACCCGAGGAGGACGAAAAGAGGCCCCCAAACTGCCCTCAAGAGGCTTTGGATCCTTCTCTCTTGGGGAGCGTCGAACTTCGGAGCTTCTTGGACCGTCTGGGAGCCATTTCTGCGCCTTTGGGGGACGTCTTGGGGCGGTGCGCTCGAAAGGTCGATTCGTGTCCTCGCACTGGGGCCCGTCTTACCCAGTTCGCGGGGCCCCCGCTGGGGCCGTCTGGGAAGCCTCTTGGCCCGTCCTGGAGACCTTTTGGGCCGTCTCGCCGCCTTCTTGCGGGCCTCCTCTTAGGCCGCACCCGCCGGCCTCATTGGCACCACACTACCAGATAAAACTATCATTCGGCGAAGAGCAGACAAAATTATCACGGCAACCCTCCCCGCAGAAGCTATGATGAACACAGACTGCGGCGTGCGAAACAGCTTCTGTCCACACCATGTCATGCCTACATGGGTGCACATGCACTGACACGGCCTCCACCACCGCGTTCCTGCCTTCAGGCCTGCTTGCCTGCATCCCTCGCCCACCTCCCCCTCCAGCGGCCACCTCCTCCATCCACGCCGTCCCCTCCAACCTCCCCTCACCTGTGAGGCCCTGGAGACGCTCCACTACCACGTCCACGCCATGGCGGGCAGCTTCCGCGGCCGAGAGGCCGCGGGTCAGCCCTAGTCAGCTACAGCGCTGGGATCAGCGCGTGCGAGAAGGGCGAGCAGTGGCAGCCTGCGCTGGCGCTGCTTAGCGAGATGCGGGAGGCGAGGTTGGAGCCCAACGTCATTTCTTCTACACTGCAGCGGCCTTTGCGTGCGAGAAGGCCCTCTGTCCCGACAGGCCGCCCACGCTCGAAGATGCTCAAGATAGTGTCCACACGGCCGAAGAGGCCCCAGAACGCTCCAAGTAGGCCCCCAGAAGGCGCTCGACAGAGCCCGCGCAAGCAAAATCCGGTCGCTCCCGCCCTGCGGGTTGGGCCGTGCGAGACCTCTCTGACAGAGTGTTTGGCGCAGTCTTGGGCCCCCTTCGCCAGTGCCTGGTCAAGAACCTCCCTGAAAGTCCCTCCGAGGGGGCACTCAGCCGCCGGCCCCCCCCCCCCCGGCTTGAAGGTCCGGAACGCCAAGGGGACGACCCGAGAGCGCCCCAAGCCGGTCCACAAGAGTCCGGAGCAGTCCAAGAGAGCCTCCAGACGGCTCCAGATCGCTCCAAGACGCCAAAGATGGCCTCCAGACGGCCAACGACGCCTCCAAAACGCCCCAAAAGGCCTCCAGAGGCCCCCTCGAAGCCCAAAAGAAGCTCCAAGAGGCCGTCACACCTCCCCTAGCAGACCCTAAGTGGCTAACCGTAGGATCATCTCGCAGAGCGCCCCTGCCCGAACTACCTCCCCGCAAGCGTTCTGTGTCTCGCTGCCGCCGCCGCCGTCATCGTCCCCGTCGGGCGGTGCCGGCAGGCGCCACGGAGCGTGCCAGTGCAGCTCGGGGCGCTGCTTTGGAAGGGGCGGATAGCCTTTCGGCACCATTCCCGCCAGTCCCCCCTATAATGCTCTTGGCCAGATGTCGTGGACGGAGTCCACGGGTCAGCCCTGAGGCCCTCGAGGCGTCCAAGACGCCCGAAGAGGCCTCCCAAGAGGGCTCCGAGCGACAGAAATCGTCGATTTCTATCGTGTTTTACCATGTTTTCGGCCTCCTCGCCTCGTCGGCTTCCCGACGCTCCAAGACGGCCCAAGACGCCCCCCCGACCGCTTCAAGACGGCCGAAGAGGACCCCAAGAGAGCCCCAAGACGGGCCAGGAGGGCCCCAAGACGGTCCCAAGACGCCGCAGGACGGCGTCAGGACGGCCCAGGAGGCGCCCAAGACGGCCCAAGAGGCACCCAAGACGGCCCCAGGAGCGGCCCAAGACGGCCCACGACAGCCGAAGAGGCGCCAAGGAGGGCCTCAGACGGCCCCAAGACGGCCCAAGAGGCACCCAAGACGGCCCGAGAGGGCCCTAAGAGCCCCCCCGGGAGGCCCAAACGAAGGCCGAATAGGCTCCGAAACGGCCCCTACGAAGCCTTCAGTGCCTTCAGAATTCCTTCCAGGAGCGGGGGAGCGGACGAGAGGCGACACGTGCGCTGGGCGCCTGAGCGGCCCCGTCGGAGAAGATCGCAGGGACGGGGACATCACGATGGCGAGCACCCCGCGCCATCACGACGTCGTGGACCGCGACGTCCGCCATTCTTGCGGGGAGTGCGCCCCGCATGTGCAGGCGCCGTATTTTAGTTGCGTTTGCACCTCCTATCTTCGGTTCCCACCACGCCTCCTATCCCAATCACCTGAACTTGCTCGCACTCCTGGCCATGCAGCCGCCATCCCTGTTGCCGTCGCCGTCGTCGTCACATCCGTGAGCTGGACGGGGCCTTCTCAGCAAAGGCAGAGGGGGGACGGAACGACGACGCCGACGGCCACGACTACGACGAAGGCAATGACGACGACGACGACGACGACGACGACGACGACGACGACGACGACGACGACGACGACGACGACCACGGCGGCAGCGTCGGCGGCAGCGTCGGCGGCCGCGACGGCGACGACGCCAGCAGCGACGCCGACGGCGACGGTGACGGCGACGGCAAATGCGACGTCGACGGCGCCGCCACGGGAGGGTCCCGACGAGGGCTCCGTACTTTCCCGGGCCCCCGAAGCAGACCGTCACGCAGACAGGCGCGCTCCGACGACCTCCGAGCAGCAGCAGCAGCTGAGGAACACAGGAGAGCAGGAGGTCCTGGAGGGTGTGGAGAGCGCCTTCAACTGGCCACGTCGAGCTGATGTCGTGGACGGAGTCCACAGGTCTGCCCTATCAGCTACAGCGCTGGGATCAGCGCGTGCGAGAAGGGCGAGCAGTGGCAGCCTGCGCTGGCGCTGCTGAGCGAGCTGCGGGAGGCGAAGCTGGAGCCCGACGTCACCTAACCTACAATACCGGGCATTCCGCGTGCCAGTACGGCCATTCTGTCCACCCTCGCGGGGCCATGGGGGGCGGCACCTCGGTGGATTCACCCCAAGCCGGCCCAAGAGGACCCCAAGACGGCCCCAAGACGGCCCAAGAGGGCCCCAAGACGGCCCCAGAGGCGCCCAACATGGCCCAAGAGGGCCCCAAGACGGTCCCAAGAGTGGCCCAAGAGGGGGAACCGCGAACTGAAAATTCGAGCTTCCCGCCCCGAGAGGGCCCTAGGAGGCCCCAAGAGGGCGCCACGAGGGCCCCAAGAGGCCCCAAGAGGGCCCCACGAGGGCCCCAATAAGCCCTAAGAGGCTTCCAAGAGGCCCCAAAGACCCCAAGAGGCCCACGAGAGGCGCCAAGAGGTCCCAAGACGGCCCCCAAGAGGCTTCAAAACTGTTTCCAAGAAGCCCTCGATGGGGCCAACCAGGAGATCCCAACGAATACTGAAGAGGTCTCTGACCCACAACCCAGGCACGGTAGCGGGATGGGCCGAAGGCCAGTAGATTTAGCCCTGGCGGAGCCCACGGTAGCCTCCAGAGAGCCCCCAGTGGGCCCCAGAGAGCCCCAGGAAACGCAAAAACGGCTTCAGAGGGATTTAGTACATTCCCGCAGGCTTCCCATCCGGGACCCACGCATGTACATCACCACCGCGGGCTGGTACATCACCCACGCATGTACATCACCACGCATGTACATCACCACCACCGGGGTTGATCGGATTATTGTTTGGGCGGGGGGTTGCAGGGTGCCTCAAATCTCGCGGAAATGGCATGGCGCGTGTGCAGCGTAATTTGGGCACGCGGCTGCATGCGCAAATTACCCTGTGACGTACCCAACCCATTTGTATCAATGGAAACGAGGAGTTGGCCGAAACTTGTATGGACAATCAACTTGGTGTGTAAGCTACTTGGGAGGCGTCACTGTGCTGGGCCCCGCAAGCAGGCCTTGAAAGTGGCGACAGTTTCACAGATCGCAGCCCCCCTGGGATGGCGAGTTCTAATTTGAATTTGCGTGTGGCGTCACTGTGCTGGGCCCCCCAGCAGGCCTCGAAAGTGGCGACAGTTTCACAGATCGCAGCCCCCCCGGGATGGCGAGGTCTACTTTGAATCTGCGTGTGGGTACCCACTGTGCTGGGCCCCATCAGCAGCCCTCGAATGTGGCGACAGTTTCACAGATCGCAGCCCTCCAGGGATGGCGAGGTCCCATTTGAGTCTGCGGTGAGTACCCACTGTGCGGGGCCCCTCAGCAGGCCTCGAAAGTGGCGACAGTTTCACAGATCGCAGCCCCCCAGGGATCGCGAGGTCCCATTTGAGTCTGCGGTGAGTACCCACTGTGCTGGGCCCCTCTGCAGCCCTCGAAAGTGGCGACAGTTTCACAGATCGCAGCCCCCCAGGGATGGCGAGGTCCCATTTGAGTCTGCGGTGAGTACCCACTGTGCTGGGCCCCTCAGCAGGCCTCGAAAGTGGCGACAGTTTCACAGATCGCAGCCCCCCAGGGATGGCGAGGTCCCATTTGAGTCTGCGGTGAGTACCCACTGTGCTGGGCCCCTCAGCAGCCCTCGAAAGTAGCGACAGTTTCACAGAACGCAGCCCCCCAGGGATGGCGAGGTCCCATTTGAGTCTGCGGTGAGTACCCACTGTGCTGGGCCCCTCAGCAGCCTTCGAAACTGGCGACAGTTTCACAGAACGCAGCCCCCCAGGGATGGCGAGGTCCCATTTGAGTCTGCCGTGAGTACCCACTGCGCTGGGCCCCCCAGCAGGCCTCGAAAGTGGCGACAGTTTCACAGATCGCAGCCCCCCAGGGATCGCGAGGTCCCATTTGAGTCTGCGGTGAGTACCCACTGTGCTGGGCCCTTCAGCAGGCCTCGAAAGTTGCGACAGTTTCACAGAACGCAGCCCCCCAGGGATGGCGAGGTCCCATTTGAGTCTGCCGTGAGTACCCACTGTGCTGGGCCCCCCAGCAGGCTTCAAAAGTGGCGACAGTTTCACAGATCGCAGCACCCCAGGGATGGCGAGGTCCCATTTGAGTCTGCGGTGAGTACCCACTGTGCTGGGCCCCCCAGCAGGCCTCGAAAGTGGCGACAGTTTCTCAGATCGCAGCCCCCCTGCTGGCACGCAGCGACGAGCGAGGCGAAAGGCAAGGGGGAAGAGAGGGGCGGGAAGGAAAGAAGGAGACGCGCGAGCAGTGCTCTATTCAAAACCAGAACCCAACGCTGGAGGGTTGGGGAAAAAACATTTCCGTGGTGTATATTCTAGGGTTGTGTATCAAATTCCCGGGGGGGGGTCCATCGATTTTTTTTTAAACAATCAAAAAAAAACACCGTGCTGCCATAGGGTGCGTGGGAGCAATTGTTCGCGACCGACTGCGACCGCCATCTGCGTGCAGGACCACCTGGCAAGTACTTGCACTTGGCGGGGGCAGGCAGTGGCACCCGTGTCAGGGCGGTCGCGCGCAGGACTGGTTCCTTTCCTGTGGCCGCCTGGTGGTGGTGAAAATCGATGGGGGCCCCGCACCCCAGTGCACCCCCAAGAGGACCGCGATGGCAAGAAACTGCCGATACGATCTACACCTTAGGCGATGCTTAAGAAAACTTAAGTTTTCGGCCAGAGTCTCGATTATTCTTCACGTTTCAATGTAAATCTTAAGATTTGAATAGACACGTTGGGTTTTTATTCAAGTTCTGAGACTATGAATTTCTTAACCCATGATTTCTTAAGCATTTCGCAGGGTCTAGGTGTGTGGGAGATTCTTCTTGTGCTCATCTCTCCGACAGCCCTTTTTAGTCGAACCCCCGAATGCGGCACACGAGGCCTCCGAAATGGCGCTGGCGCGGCCCGGGCGGCCTCCCGGAAGCCTTCTGCGACGGCGGGCAGCCTCCCAGGCACCCTCTGCGACGGCGCAAGGCGCCCCCAAGAGAGTCCCGAAGGCTTCCTGGACGGGCCCCGAAAACTCTAGACGGCTCCACGGGAGGCCTGCGAAGGCCAATTTTGGAGTCCTCCCCTCCATCGGACCGTCCCCGCGGCCAGCGAGCCCCCAGGACGCCCCAGAGAGGCTCCCAGATAGCTTTAGAAACGTCCCCAAGAGCCCCCAAGATGTGCCCAGTGGAGCCTCCGCAGAAGCCTCAAAAAAAGAAGCCCCCCCCATAGGCCCAGGACATTGCTGCTTCCTGGAAGCACCGCCTGAGCGGGAAAAGACGTGCCCCACATTTCTTGGGACACCTCTCGCGCGGGAGGGTTTGGACAAAAATTGCATCCCGACCCGCCCGACCGCAAACGCCCAGGAACGTTTTTTTCCTGGGATCCCTCTCGCACGGCGCGTGTCCCAGCTGGTGTGGGGTACGTCTTATTCCAGACACATGGTTTTTTCCCTCCCTGACCTCCTCCTCCTCGCTGCGCACGGCCTCTGAATAGTGGCTGCGCGTCCTACCACCACATCTCGCCCAGCACGGCACCTGAGGCCTCCGAAATCGGCCCAGCGCGGCCCGGGTGGCCTCCCAGGAAAAGCCCCCCAAGACGGCCCAAGATGGGATGGGCCCCAACGGCTACCTGAGGCCTCCCAGACGGGCCCCGAAACCCCGGCATTCCGCGCGCCGGTACGGCCAAGGGTTGCACCGTCGCCGGGCCTGGGGGGGCGCACCTCGGTGCCTCCTCCCAGCTCCCAAGACGCTCTCGACAGACCCCCAGAAGGACCCACAAGCGCGCCTAAGAAACTGCAAAATGGAAGAGAAGCTTCGGCAGGAGCCTCCAGCCTCCAAGAACCTTTTCCTCCCAGGGCGCTCTGAAATTTGCTACTGCGTGGAAGCGCCGCCACATTGAAAACCCACACACACACACGCACACACGCACACACGCCCACACGCACACATACACACACACACACACACACGCGCACGCAATCACACACGACACACACACACACACACACACACACACACACACACACACACCACACCTCTTGGGACACCTCTTGCTTGGTAGGGGTTGCCCAAAAAGTGCTTCCGGACCGCGCTGGCCAGGCACGCTTTTTCAGGGACCCCTCTCGCACGGCGCGTTTCAGGAGGTGTGGGGTATGGTTTCCCCCTGCAGATTACATTCCCCTCCTCGACCTCCTCCTCCCCGTTGCCCACGACTCCCTCTGCACAGTGGCTGCCGTCGTTTGCTGGTCACGTCGCTCCGCCTCCCTCTCGGGCCACTGCCGATGCTGCCGTATCCGCTGTTGCTGCTGCAGGCGCTGTTCTGGCCGCCGACGGAAGCATGAAGCACCCAGCTCGCCCTGAAACAGCACGCAGCAGCAAGCGCACTGCCCATACCCTGGCACTCTCAATAATACTCTGGCACTCGTGGACGGTGGTCCACAGGTCAGCCTTGTGTACTACAATACCAGGATCAGCGCGTGCGAGCTCAGACAGAGTGGCCCCGGGCGGCTCCACGCGCCCAGGGGCCCGGGCCTCGACGGTCGCCCGCGCTCCCGGGACCGATGTATTAAACCTCGTGCATTGTCGTAGTGTTTGTTTAAAAGGTGTTTCGAGGTCCTCTCCAAGTCGGGCCAGGAGACGCTCCAGGCGGCCCAGAGCAGCTCCAGGCGGCTCCTCGGAGCTCCGAAATTGTTTCTGCCTCGCCCGAGACGCCTCCACCGTAGCTTCTTGGACGGCCCAAACGGTCCACAGACGCCCCAAGAGAGCAAGACGGCTCATAGAGCCCCACGGGCCCCCCGAGATAGCCCCAGGACGGTCCCAAGCGGGCTCCCGCACAGCCTCGGCCCCCCTTCAGCAGACCCATCACAGCCCCCCAGGGCCCTATGAGGGCCCCAGACCGAGCCAGGAGGCCCCAAGAGAGCCCCAAGTCAGGCGCATGGAACCTCACGGGCCCCCCGAGCCAGCCCCTATGGACTGTCCCCAGCGGCTCATGCACGGCCTCGGCCCGCGCGGGGCCCTATCGGGCGCCGCCGACGCCGCCGGCGTAGCCTCGGCGAGGCTTCATCTCAGCCCGCGGGCGCGGCCGGACAAAGTTGACATCCTTGTTGGTTTTGTCCGGAGGCTTTGCGGGGCTGTCCAGGAGCGCTCGTGGAGTCTCCGCTAGGCCCCATCGCGGGGCCGCAGACGCCGCCGGTGTAGCCTCGGCGAGGCCCAATCGGGGGGGCCGCGGGCGCGGCCGGACATATTTGACATCCTTGTTGGTTTTGTCTGGAGGCTCGGCGGGGCTGTCCTGGGGCGCTCGTGGAGCGTCCAGTGGGCCCCATCGGGGGCCGCAGACGCCGCCTGCGAAGCCTCGGCGAGGCCCAATCGGGGGCCGCGGGTGCGGCCGGACACATTGGACATCGGTGTTGGCTTTGTATGGGATTCTGCGGGGCTGTCATGGAACGCTCGTGGAGTCTCCGCTGGGCCCCATCGGGGGCCGCAGACGCCGCCGGAGAATCCTGCCCCAAATGCCCCCCGCACGGCCTCAGGGACGCTCGAGCTGTTCCACTTCGACGAGCTGTTCCTTCACGGTGTGCGAACTCCAGGCTCAGCACGCCAGGGATGTAATCCACGGGTTCACACTAGTCTGCTACAATGCTGGGATCAGCGCGTTGGAAAGGGGCGAGCAGTGGCAGCGGGCGCTGGCGCTGCTGAGCGAGATGTGAGAAGTGAAGCTGGAGCCCAACACAAGCCGCTAAAATGCTGGGATCAGCGCGTGCGAGAAGGGCGAATTGTGGCAGCGGGCGTTGGCGCTATTGAGCAAGTTGTGAGAAGTGAAGCTGGAGCCCAACGTCATCTCTCCTGAAATGCCGCGGCCAGCGCGTCAGCTACAGCGCTGGGATCAGCGCGTGCGCGAAGGTCGAGCAGTGGCAGCAGGCCCTGGCGCTGCTGAGCGACATGTGGGAGGCGAAGCTGGAGCCCAACGCAGCCAGCTAGAGCTATGCGATCGGTGCTCTGCTGCGGAGAGACAGGCTAGTCAGCTACCGCGCCGTGGAACAGCGCGTGAGTGAAGGGTTGGCAGTGGCAGCGGGCTCTGGCGTTGTTGAGCGAGATGTGGGAGGCGGTGTTCGGATCCGGACGGTATCAGAACTATAGCGTTGGGATCATCGGGTGCAGGAAAGGACGAGCAGTGGCAGCCGGCGCTGGCGCTGCTCAGCGACACGAGGGAGGCGGTTCTTGAGCCCAATGCCATCACCAATTGCAGCGCTGGGATCAGCCTGGCGAGAAGGGCAATCAACGGCGGCAGGCTCTTTTGGTGCTCAGCGAGACGTGGGAGGTGAAGTCGGAGCCCGACCTCGTCAGTTACAGCGCTGGGATCAGGGCGTACGTCAAGGGCGATCAGTTCAGCATAGTTTGGCGATGCTCGGCCAGATGCGCGAGGTGACCCCCCGCGACCCGCCCCCGACTCGCCCCGGACCCTCCCCGCGAGCCACCCCTCGACGCACCCGCGACACACGCGCCCGCGACTCACACTCTCGACCCGCCCGCGACCCACCCCGCGCCCGACCGCTGACTCTGATCTTACCAGCCTGGAACATATCCCTATCCCTATGCTGGGCACCTCCTCATCACGATGCCAGTCTTAGGGATTCCCTTATTTTTTGAGGGCGAATCCCTAAGATTGTCATCGCCTTTTGGCGTGCCAATCTCAGGGGTAGGGATACGTTCGAGGCTGGTAATGATCCGCACCTGCGAGGTGGCCCCCGACATCCAGACCCCCTTCCCGCAGGGGCAGCTCGTCGGTCCCGGAGGCATGCCGGGCGGTCCTGGGACGGGAGAGTCGGGGGCGGAAAAGAGGGGGGTGATGATTAGGGGTGTGTGGATATCATGGCGTGGGCCATGATATTTCCCCAGATTTCATGGCGCCTTTTCTTATTTCATTACGTCCCTGGCCCCCCCGCTGGGCCGCGCACATGCCGCCGGTCATGATTTGCACCCCCCCCTCTTGGACACCCCCCTCTTGGCCGCTCCCGAGAGAGCGGATCCTCGTGCCCGCACCCCCGCCCGCCCTGCGGGGGCAGCCCGCTCGTCGCATCCGTGCCGAGAGCGGCCCTGGAGGCCGACATGCAGAGCGATGCGCCTGTTTACCACCACCACCACCAGAAGCTGGAGGGGGAGGGGGTCCTCCTCCTCCTCCTCCTCCTCCTTCTCTTCCTCCTCCTCCTCCTCCTCCTTTTCGTCCTCCTCCTCCTTCTCCTCCTTCTCCTCGTCGTCGTCGTCCTCCTCCTCCTCCCTTCCCCCCTCCTACTTAGGGTGGTGGTGGTGGAAAACAGGCACACCATAGAGTAAGAGTGGGCGTGGCGGAAAACAAAAAGGGGGCGATCCATGCCGGGTGGAAGCGAGGGCTGCAGCAAGAAGGAGCCCCTTCGGGGGCCCTGAAGGGGCCCCTTCGGGGGCCGTGAGGGGACCTGCAGGGCACGAAAAGTGCACCCTCCGCCCAGGGGGAATGTTCAAAAACAATCGAGAAATAGTCTGGAGGCGACTATTTTAATGTTTTTGAGCATTTGGGGGGCGTTTGTGAGTATTTTTTTTCTCCCCCCCCCGACAATCGCTCCCCCACTAAGCGACGCCCAATAAGTCACATGGCCGAAAAGAGTGGTAATGTAGGCGGTCATGGCAGAGGAGGCTGGAGGGCGCCAGCGTGGAACAAATCTGGCTCCGCATCGGCTACGCGGCTCGATGCGGAGTCAGATTTGTTCCACGCTGGCGTCGCCGATGCACCGCCGACGTCGCCGACGCATCGGGGATACATCGCCGCGGCTGCGCGATCCTCCCCATCTACGCGGACCCCGTCTGGGAGGCCTCCATCATGTAAGGCTTCGGGCTGCGCGCGTACAGCACACCTCCCAGGTAGCCCAAGCTGGCCTCGACAGCCCCCCCATGTAATCAGTCCCAGCTGGCCTTAGGAGGCCTCCCGAGGAGCGCAGGGTGGGCTCAACGCCCCGTCCCTGGGCCCCGGAGCGCCCGGGGGGCGCCGCTGGAGGCGGCGCCAGGGTGATGGGAGCGCCCCTGGGCCAGCTGGGACTGTGTAATCTGGGGGTCTGTCGAGGCCAGCTCGGACTGCTCGGGGGGCTCGGTGAGATTGAGACCAGCTGGGACTGCCTGGATCCCGAGGGACTCCGAATGTATATGGCGGTCCTCGTCGCCGTTTCCGTCGTCGTCCTCCTCCTCGTTGTCGTCCTCGCCGTTGTTCTCGTCGTCGTTTTCTTCGTCGTCGTCGTCGTCGTCGTCGTTTTCTTCGTCGTCGTCGTCGTCGTCGTCGTTTTCGTCACCGTCACCGTTGTTTGCGTCCTCGTCGTCGCCGTCGTCCTCGTGGCGAGCGGGCGCGCGCTCGCAGGCGCGCGGGCGGGCGGGCGCGCGGGCAGGCGTCTCGGCTGACACGCGGGCTCGCCGCGCGCGGGAGCGCGGCTGGACGGGCGCGCGGGCGGGCGGCTGGGCGACCCGCCGACCAACCGACCAACCAACCAACCAACCAACCAACCATCCAACCAACCAACGTCGTCGTCGTCGTCACCGTCACCGTCACCGTCACCGTCACCGTCACCGTCGCTGGCGCGCAGGCAGGCGGGCGGGCGGGCGGGCGGGCGGGCGGGTGCGCGGGCGGGCGCGCGCGCTGGAGGGAAGGCGGGCGGGCGGGCGGCTGGGCGACCCGCCGACAAACCAACCAACCAACGCACCGTGCTCAGCCATTTTGGCTCCAGCCATGTTCACCGCAGGTATGTTTGGCTCACGCCGCGGCGCCCTGTCTTCTTCGGATGCGGGACATCTGTCGAGGGTCTCGAGAAGGCGCCGTGTGCCTCGGAGCGTCGATCAAGAACTGCGGTCAGACAATTCAGTGGAGCGCGGCACTGCGGTTGCTCCGCGAAGGAATTCGGTTAGGTGTGCAACTTGTCCCAAGCCACTACGTTGCGACTGTCGGCGCATGCAGAAAAGGCGGGCAGTGGCAACACGCGCTGTCAGTGTTCAGTGAGATGTTGGAGGCGAAGCTGGAGCCCAACGTCATCTCTCCTGCATGGCCAGTGGAAGCGCGTGCGAGAATGGTTCACGCCTCGTGTGCACAAAATCGCCCCTTGACGGCGCCACTACGGGGCCGAATCGCTCAAGCCGGTCTCAGAGGCGCTCCAGAGGGGTCCCACACCGTCCAAGAGCGCTCCAAGACAGCCTCAGTGTGTCCCGAGACGGCTCACGAGGGCCCGAAGCTTTCCTGGGGGGGGGGGCTCCACGACGATCCAAGAGGCCGCAAAGACGCCCCAAGAGGGCCCGCCTTGTGTGCTCCCCAGTGGCCCAGGACACGCCAAGAGGCTTCAAAATCGCCCCAAGAAGACGCCAGCGGCCCCTAAGAGGGCTCCAAGACGGCCCACAAGAGCCCCAAGACGACGCCAGAGAGCCCTGAAACGGCCCCACAAGAGTCCCAAGACGGCCCCAAGAGATCTCCGAGGGGGCCCCAAGAGGCTCCCAAGACGGCCTCAGGCAGCCTCAAAAGAGCTCCAAGACGGTCCAAGGCCTCCCGGACGCCCCGTGACGGCCCAACATGGCCCCAAGACGTCCCAAAACGCTCCCAGAGCAGCCCAAGAAAGCTTCAGAATGCTCGAAATAGACCCCCACAAGGGCCACCAAGCAGGCCCAGAGACGCCCATTGAAAGAGCCATCGGTGAAGTGCAAAGCTCTTCTCACCAAGTCTCCCAAGAGCGAGCCGCAGCGTAGAGAGCTCTCCCAGGCACAGCTCTCAAGAGCGAGCGGTGCCGTGACCAGCCCTTCACACAGGGGCTCTCAAAAGCGAAGGGCTCTCAAAAGATGGCCCCAGACGGCCCCAGGACGGCTCCCGTGGCGCCCAGACAGCCCCAAGAGCGGCCAAAGATGGCCCAAGAGGGCCTCCAGATGGTCCAAGACGGTCCCACAGGCGCCCAAGACGGCCCCAAGAGAGCCCCAAGAGGACCCCAGGAGGCCGCAAGACGGCCCAAGAGGGCCCCAACAGGCCCCCAGGAAGCCGAAAAGAAACCCCGAGGGCCCCAAGAGGCCCCAAGGAGAAGGCAGCGCCCGCCATCAGGCTTCGAAAAGGCAACCAGAAAAAAGTCACCAGAGCCCTCCGGGTGACTTTTTTCAAGGCCCCAGGTATTTTCAACATTGTTCAAGCCAGGGGGAGCAGACAAGCGGGGAGAGGCACGCCGCAGACGCATCATAGCCGTATGTGACGCTCCAGACGGAGTGAAGCGGAAGGCGGACGAAGAGGAGGAAACGCCCGCCTTCCAATTTCGGAAAGGCGGCCGGAAAGAGTCACCGAAGGTTTCGGGGTGACGTTTTCCTGGGCTGGGGCCCAATGTGGAGGCGCGCCAGGGAAACCTGCTGATCCTTTACGAAGTCCACGGGTTCGCCCTAGTCTGTACTACATTTCCGGGCGAAGCGCTTGCGAAAAGGTCAAGCAGTGGCAGCGCCCCGGGCCGCCCAGAGAGCTCGCGGGCCGCCCGGAGAGCCTCCGGGCCGCTGCCCGACGGGCCCGGGAGGCCCCTGGACCGCTCGCGGACTGATCCAGGATTCCCAGATCGCTCCAAGACGGCCTCAGGAGGTCCCGAAGACGGCCCAAGACGGTCCAAGAGTGTATCCGAGACGCTTAAGATGGCTTTAAGACGCCTTCAAGACGACCCGAGACGCCTCCACGAGGCCCCCAGAGCGCTCGAAGTGCACCTCCAAGAGGGGCCGCAGATGATTGTTTGATTTTCTTTGTTTTTTGTTTTAAAATGTTTTTGGCCTTCTCGCTTTTTCGGCTTTCCGACGCTCCAAGACCGCCCAAGAGGCCCCAAGACCGTTCCAAGACGGCCCAGGAGGCCTTGAAGACGGCCCAAGAGGGCCCTAAGACGGCCCAAGAGTCGCCCAAGACGGCCCAAGAGGGCCCCCAAGAGGGGCCCAAGACAGGGACCCGGAACCGAAAAATCGAGGCCTCCACCCCAAGAGGCCTCCAGGAAGCCCCAAGACGCCCTAAAGAAACGCCGGGACGCTCCCAAGACATCTCCAGGAGGCCCCAGGACGCCCCAAAGAGGCTCCAAGAGGCCCCCCAGAGGCCGCCAAGCGCCCCAAAAGGCCCCCAAGAGGCCCCCAAAGAGGGCCCAAGAGGCCCCAAGACGCCCCCAAACTGCTACCAAGAAGCCCCCAAACTGTCTCCCAGAGGCTCCCGAGAGGCCAACCACGAGAGCTTCAACTGACCCCCAGGTCCGCCCCAACCGGGTGCCAGATCCCGCCCGAGCGGGCCCAAAGCGACCTCCGAGACCGCCCGAGACCCCCAAGATGGCCCCAATACGCTCCAAGAAGAGCCCCAGATGCTGCCCAAGAGGGCCGAAAACGACCTCCGAGACGGCCCGAGACCCCCAAGATGGCCCCAAGACTTCCCTGCGCGGCCCCCAACTGAGGCCCGCAAACGTGTTCCCCTCATTCTGACTATGCATGAAAAGCCATGTGTTTTTGCTAGTCGCCCCCAGGCCCGGCGCGACTAGCAAAACCCCATTCCCTCATGCTTCCAGGTCGGTGCCCCTGGAGCTCCCCCGACTGCTTTCCGGGGTAGCCCCCAGACGTGGCCCCGGAAACGTCGGCCCCACGCGTGGCCCCCGAGCGGGACCCCCAAAGGCGGCCCCCACAGAAAGCCTCCGAAGGTCGCCCCTCCGGCCCCAGTAAGCGTGGCCCCCGAACGTCGCCCCAACGAGTAGCCCCCCGACGCCCCCAAACCTGGCCCCCAACCATTGCCGTCAAACGTGACCACACATATGCCTCCGAAAGTCGCCCCTACCGCCTGCCCGAGGGACGCCCGAGCCCTTCCACTTCGACGAGCTGGTCGCCTACGGCGTGCGAGTCCAAGGCTCAGCACGCCGTGGATTTAATCCACGGGTTCACACTAGTCTCTACTACATTGCAGGGCCCAGTGCGTGCCAGAATGGCGCAGGCCCCAATGCACCAAAACCGCCCCGGGCTGGCCCCGGGCCGCCCCGGGCCGCCCAGGCAGGCTCCAGGACATGTCGAGAGGGCCCCCAGAAGCCCCCAAGACGGCCCCGGAGAGCCCCGGCACGCTTAAAGATGGGCCCAAGACGCCCGAGATTCGCCCCAGACGGCCCAAGAGGCGTCCAAGACGCCCGAAGAGGCCTCCCAAGAGGCCTCCCAAGAGGGCCCCGAGCGACAGAAATCGTCGATTTCTATTGTGTTTTTCTATGTTTTCGGCCTCCTCGCCTCTTCGGCTTCCCGACGCTCCAAGACGGCCCAAGAAGTCCCCCCGACCGCTCCAAGACGGCCGAAGAGGACCCCAAGAGAGCCCCAAGACGGGCCAGGAGGGCCCCAAGACGGTCCCAAGACGCCCCAGGACGGCCCCAGGACGGCCCAGGAGGCGCCCAAGACGGCCCAATAGGCACCCAAGACGGCCCCAGGAGCGGCCCAAGACGGCCCAAGACAGCCCAAGAGGCGCCGAGGCGGGCCTCAGACGGCCCCAAGACGGCCCAAGAGGCACCCAAGACGGCCCGAGAGGGCCCTAAGAGCCCCCCCGGGAGGCCCAAAAGAAGGCCGAAGAGGCTCCGAAACGGCCCCCACGAAGCCTTCAGTGGCTTCAGAATTCCCTCCAGGAGCGGGGGAGCGGACGAGAGGCGACAGGCACGCCGCGCTTGCCCAGAGACCCCTCGCCACGTCGAGCTGATGTCGTGGACGGAGTCCACAGGTCTGCCCTAGTCTCTACTACATTGCAGGGCCCAGTGCGTGCCAGAATGGCGCAGGCCCCAATGCACCAAAACCGCCCCGGGCTGGGCCCCGGGCCGCCCAGGCAGGCTCCAGGACACGTCGAGAGGGCCCCCAGAAGCCCCCAAGACGGCCCCGGAGAGCCCCGGCACGCTTAAAGATGGGCCCAAGACGCCCGAGATTCGCCCCAGGCGGCCCAAGAGGCGTCCAAGACGCCCGAAGAGGCCTCCCAAGAGGCCTCCCAAGAGGGCCCCGAGCGACAGAAATCGTCGATTTCTACTGTGTTTTTCGATGTTTTCGGCCTCCTCGCCTCGTCGGCTTCCCGACGCTCCAAGACGGCCCAAGAAGCCCCCCCGACCGCTCCAAGACGGCCGAAGAGGACCCCAAGAGAGCCCCAAGACGGGCCAGGAGGGCCCCCAGACGGTCCCAAGACGCCCCAGGACGGCCCCAGGACGGCCCAGAAGGCGCCCAAGACGGCCGAAGAGGCACCCAAGACGGCCCCAGGAGCGGCCCAAGACGGCCCAAGACAGCCCAAGAGGCGCCGAGGCGGGTTTCAGACGGCCCCAAGACGGCCCAAGAGGCACCCAAGACGGCCCGAGAGGGCTCTAAGAGCCCCCCGGGAGGCCCAAACGAAGGCCGAAGAGGCTCCGAAACGGCCCCCACAAAGCCTTCAGTGCCTTCAGAATTCCCTCCAGGAGCGGGGGAGCGGACGAGAGGCGACAGGCATATCGCAGGCAAAAACGCCCCAAGAGATCCCCAAACGGCCCCCACGAAGCCCTAAATGGAAAGCCAAGCTGGAGCCCGACGCCATCATGATTGCCTTTCGGCCCTGCAGCCGCACCCCCCCGCGCTTGCCCAGAGACCCCTCGCCACGTCGAGCTGATGTCGTGGACGGAGTCCACAGGTCTGCCCTAGTCAGCTACAACGCTGGGATCAGCGCGTGCGAGAAGGGCGAGCAGTGGCAGCCTGCGCTGGCGCTGCTGAGCGAGATGCGGGAAGTAAAGCTCGAGCCCGACGCCATCTCTCCTATATGGCCGGCACCAGCACGTGCGGGAAGGTCAAGTTCCCAAATGTGCGAAATCGGTATCGGCGGGCCCCCGGCACGTACCGGGCGCGCCCCGGCGCGGCTCCGGCGCGCCTGCGGGCGGCTCCAGCGCGCGTCAGAACGCCTCCAGGTAGCGCCGAGATGGGACCCAGATGGCCCCGAGATAGTTTCAGGACTTTCAGACGTGCTTCCAGACTGCCCAAGAGGCCTCCAAGTCCCTCCAAGTGACGTCCAAGAGGGCTCCCAGAAACAAGAGTCGCCCCAATCCGTACGGAAATTTTGGCCCCCAAGATCGCCCCAAGACGCCCCAGAGGACTTCCATGGGGCCCCAGGACGGTCCAAGGCGGCCCCAGGACAGCCCAAGAGGCTCCCAGGACAGTCTAAGAGCCCGAAGAGCGGCCCAAGGCGGGCCCGAGACAGCCTTAGAGGCGCCCAAGAACGTCCCAAACAGCCGAAGACGGCCAAAAAGGCGCCCAAGACGGCCCCAAGAGACCCCCAAGAGTACCAAAGGAGGCCCCACGATGCCTCCAAGCGGCCCCGAAGAAGCCCCCTGGAGGCTTCCTAACTGCTTCCAATAGCGGAGAGGCGGACGAGAGCCGTGAGGCTCTTCGCATGCCTCGCTCCTAGGGCCCTGGAGGCTTCTCTTGGGGGGGGGGCGTTGTCGTAGGATCCACGATTGACGATCGACGATCGAGGGGATGAAGGATCGAAGGCAGGAGGAGGAGGAGGAGGAGGAGGAGGAGGAGGAGGAGGCGGAGGATCCAGCAGCAGCAAACACCAGCGGCGAGAAGCAGCAGCAGCACAGAAGCAGCAGCACGCCTTGACACCACCCGCGCCAACCAGCATCATCGGGAGGACGTCTGGGCGGGACGGATGTAAACTGCCATTCCGCCGACTCCGTGTGGCGCAATGACATGTTCGGCTGTTCCGAGCTGTGGTGCGCTACGCTACGTTACGCGGAGTCATGCCATACTCCGTGGTCATATGCTGCGCCGTGCACAGCCCCCGACAGAGCCCCCAGAAGGCTCTGGAACACGCCTCAATATGTGTCAGCGGTCCAAGACGGCACCAGGATGTCCCGAGACGGTACAAGACGGACCCAGGATGGTCCACGGCGGCCTTGGGATGGCACACGAGACGTCGCCAAGATATTCCAAAACGGCCAAGATGCTCCCAAGACGGCCCCGGCTGCAGGCTCCCCTCACCCGGGGGGTGGAGGTGCGCTTTGAAAGATGAATACCTCGACCCCAGGGGCGGGGAGGGGGCCAGACCAGTCAGGGCGGAAGATATTCAAGACGGCCCCAAGACGGTTCAAGACGGTCCAAGACGGCCCCAGGATGGCCCAACACGGTGCCAGGATGGTCCAGAACGGGCCAAGGTGCAAGACGGCCCCAGCTGCGGGCTTTCCCCCACGCACACTCCGACCGACGTCCGAGGGCGGCGAGGGCGCCGACTGACCTCCGACGACGCGCCCCGCGCAGGTGGTGGGCGCAGCTTGAACCCAGCCGCCGCAGCCCACCGGACAGCCCGGGGAAGCCTGACCAGGACGAAAAAACTGTGGGGCTATAGGACCTCAGGCCCCGCCGGGCGGGCCGATGACTTGACGGCCCCAAGACGAACCAGGGCTGCTCCAGAACGGCTCCTGACTCGCCCATGACGGCCCCAGAGGCGTCCAGAACGGCCCCAAGAGCGGCCCCAAACGGCCCAAGACGGCCCCAAGACGGCCCCAGTGGCGCCTTCAAGAGAGGCCCCAGACGGCCCCCACACGGCCCAAGGGGGCACTCGAGACAGTTCCAGAGAGTCCCAAGAGGGGCCCAGAAGGCCGCACAACGGCCCCAAGATGGCCCACGACGGGCAAAGATTTCAGTCGGGCCTGTCCCCCTACAAGGGGATTTTCGATGGAAAATAAAGAACATTCAGACATAATCCAAAAAATAATACACAAATAGTCTGGGGACTATTTTTTTAGTATTCTTTACCTGTTTGGAGCATTTTTGGGGTATTCTTTTTTTTTCGTCGAAAGCCCCCCTGCAGGGGGACACGCCCGACATAAGCAAAGATGCTCCCAAGGCGGCCCCACCCGCGGGCTTTCTGCCCCCACGTCCACACCATGGCGGGCAGATTCCGCGGCCAGAAGGCCGCGGGTCAGCCCTAGTCATCATCACAATCATCATCATCATCATCATCATCATCATCATCATCATCATCATCATCATCATCATCATCATCATCATCATCATCATCGTCATCATCATCATCATCATCACCACCACCACCATCACCATCACCACCACCACCACCACCATCATCATCATCATCACCACCATCATCATCATCATCATCATCATCATCATCATCATCATCATCAGCTACAGCGCTGGGATCAGCGCGTGCGAGAAGGGCGCGCAGTGGCAGCGGGCGCTGGCGCTGCTGAGCGAGACATGGGAGGCGAAGCTGGAGCCCGACGTCATCTCTCCTACTGAGATGCATCCTTGGTTTGTTAAGGTTTATAGTGTTTAGCTAAAGTTTAGCGGACTTATAAAGTTTATCAGCAGTTATCCAAAACAGAGTTATAAACTTTATAAACTTTAGCGTTCGCTTTAACAAGCCATAAAAATGCGATGCTATCAGAAGTTCTTGTGTTACTTCTCGCAGCAGCTTGCACTACGCAGGTTGCACCGCGTAGGATGCACCGCATACTACATAAGTTGTTGCACCGCTTAGCATGCGCCACATAGGTTGTACCATAGCACATAATACACCACATAGGTTGCATCCACATAGGTTACACCGCATACATAGGGGCGGGCGCGTAGCACCAGGTCCGCCGCCGAATGTCGTCTCTGCATCTCCATCTGTCGTCGTGGTCGTCGTCAGGGCCCCGCGGTTTCAGCATGCCGCTTTGGGGTGGAGGAGGAGGACAGCAGCAGCAGGCGCCTGCAGGAGGAGGATGCAGAAGGAGCAAGAAGGATGATGATGAGGAGGAGGAGGAGCGGAGCAGAAGACCCCCCTCATTTCTCATCTGCATTCAGCCGCAATGGCTTTAATGCGCAGACATCGTTTCTGGATGGGCTGTGCGGTGGGGCTACGCGAAGCGTATGCGATTTTTTCTCCTGAGCGCAAAGCGCCAGCAAATCCCATCATGAAAACTCCAATGGCAGGATAGTGCCGACGGTGCCGTCTGCGTACGCGCAGTGTTCTACTGCAGCCAAAATGGCTTTGGTCTCCCAACACTCCACTGGAGTCGCAGAAAGTTTCCACACTGCCTTTGCAGTACCAGGGATGCGCCGCGAAAGTTCCATAACCTCCATCATAGAAACAGCTTCTCCACTGACCTCGAAATGCAACTTCACGCGGGCGGCAAGTATGCCGTCGGAGCCGTTCAAAAGCACAACGTCCCCTTGCGCGCATAAGCCGAGCTGGCTAAAGCGAGAATCTTTACCCACATTCACTTGGATATCATCACCTTCCAAACCCAATGCGTCCAAGATCAGCTGCCTGCTCTTCTTGGGCGCCTTGCGGCCCTGCAACAAGCCGACGCCATAATTGAAACTGTGGCTCGTTATTGCTGACAGGTGATGGGCAACGCATTCGCTCAGCAACGACTTGCTGGCTGACCCAGGGATGTTCGCCAGTTCGGTGGCGTATCTCTTTGGCATTCTATGCTTCCTCTCAAGGACGAAGCAGTTCAAGAGCCTCCCGTTTCTTTCGAGTAGCTCAGGGAGGTGGAGAAGCCAATGGCATTTTGGTGTCAGGGACTCATATCCAAAAGCAGCAGTGAAATATTCCAAGAACTTATGAACGCAACCTAGAAGCCTCGCTGGGCTCACGTCGATCCGACTGGTTGCAACTACCAGCTGCGACAGCTGAACGCAAGCTATCATAGCGTCGCAAGCTGCATTGGCTGCCCCCATAGGTCGCAGGACCGTCTGAGTGAATAGCATCAGAACGCCAAGAATAGACAATAAATCAGACGCCTGGCATTTTACGTGTTGGGCCTTTCTGTGCTTATCTTTCCGATCAGCATTGAAAATGCTGTCTAAATGCGTAGCGTGAAATCTTCCAGGGAACACCCAAGTTGCCAAGAACTCAGAGAATGACTCCCATACGCCATTAAGCCCAGCAGATATGAACTCTTCGAAAGTTAGGTAGATCACGAGATTCACAACACCGTCGACGAACAGCGCGTGCATGTAGTCATGCATAAACACCTCTGTTGGGTTGATCAGCCTGTCTAAGGCTCTATCGAGCAGCAAGCCTCGTTTGGCAAATGTTAAACCCAGCGCTTGCTGCAACAGAACGAACTCTTCATTAGACAGAGTCCGCGACATGCGCTCCAGATACCTGGCATTGGTGCGAAGCTCATGGTCAGTGGACGCCACGAGCTCATCGAGATGTATTTCGTTGCAACGCAGCATGGCTGAGCCATCTTCGTCAACAACCCTTGAGTCGGCTGTGAACATATTCTTACAAAGCATACAAAACTTGGACGCGCCGTCGCCCCTTGCTTGCCAAACAGCTTTATGAGCGCCCCCGTCTTGCAACACCACGCCGACTTTAGCAAACAGCCTGAAGCTATCCCCGTCTAAGTCAAGGGTCATTCCACCGTATTGGAAATGAAAGCCATCAGGCTTGAAAAAACATTTAATAGCCTCAGCGAATGCTTGGCTTAACCCAGCAGAGAGGGAATTCACAGAACAGGAGAATTCAGTCATCAGCACAAACCAGCTCTCCTCGTGACTGAGCGCGCTCACGCCGAATTCCAAGAAGCTCCAATAAATAGATTGGAATTTTCGCTGGTTGGCTGGTGATAAGGGGTTCCCTGGTGTGACTTCGTCAGAATACAAAATCAAGTTCCATGGCTTTTCGGGCGTCGATGGGTGAAGCATCAGCTGGCGCTTCAAAAACTTCCGAAAATTCGCGCTCTCTTCGACAGCTGCCGCTAAGGATGCGAACGGGCAGGCGATGGGTATGCTAGCTGGTTCTTCCTCTGCATCAACGCACGTAAAGCTTTGTACTATAGGGCCGTACTGGCCGACAGTTGTGGTAACAGCATCCCTCGCGGCACGCATGGAATTCCGATCTATGACTTCTGGGAGCCCATTGTCCCTCACGTCCGCCAGAATTGCCGCTAAAGCAGAAGCCGTACAGTGAGGCTTGGAGCGACGGAACTCATTAAGCCTGCGCAGCTTAGCAGCCCGCGGCGGCTGCATCCGAAACTGCGGCAGACGCTGCAAAGCCCGAGGTCTGAGCGAAATGGGCTACGGACGGAGACGCCAGCACGCGCTCCAGAACGAGGGCGCGCAATCGACGAAGCGAGAAACATACATTCTTTCTTGACACGCCCCTCCAGACTGACAGCCCGTTCTCGAGAGCCAGGTGTTAGCCGAAACTTAGCACGCAGTGCTTGTATGTTCTGCGAAAAGCCTGGCTATATATATGATAGTGCAACAATTACAGTCTCAGGACTTCCCCCCAGCGTCGTCGATCGCCTTGACGGCTGCAGCCCACGCCTCAGCGGTCGGCTTAGGCCCCCCCCAGCCCTTGGAGCTCTCGGTGTAGTAGCCCGACCAGCCCATGAGGCTTTAGGCGCGTTCTGCGAGATACTCTGTTACCCTCGCCACCATTCCCGCTCGCTCATGGCCCTGGCGGCCCCCGATCCCAAGACGAACGATGGACACATGAGGCGAGGATTGGGGAGGACGAGGAGGAGCTAGGATGAGGAGGAGCTAGGAGGAGGGGGAGGAGGGAGATGGAGGAGGAGCAAGAGGAAGAAGGAGGAGGAGGAGGGAGACATTTAAGAGGTGGAGGGGGCGAGGAAGGAGGGAGCGAGGGAGGAAGGAGCGAGGGAGGACGGAGGGGGGAGGAGGAAGGATGATAAGGAGGAGGAGGGGGGGGGGGGAGGCGGAGGAGGATAAGGTCAAAACACATTCAAAACAGCCTGAGTGTTTCCACCACTACGAAGAGGGATGATGGTGATGAGGAGGAGTAGGAGTAGGAGGAGGACGTACCCAAGACACCCAACGCATAATAACATGAAACTGTTCGGGCGCGGGGAGGGAGGGGGGGTCGGCGGGGGAAGGGGTGAGGGGGGCAACCAATCTCGACGAAGCGGTGCGATGGCTGGCGGTAGTTCGCTAAACGTAATGAATTGCCGCGCTCTCTGAGAGCACGGAAGCGAAAAGCTGTGCGGCTCGTGTAGATTATGCCCTGCTTGTAGACCACTGGCGGTGGGTTCGAACCGTCCTTTGGCATCGACGGCATTGCGCTCATGATCTTTGACTTCGGGATCGGCTTCAAGTCGGCAGTCGCCGCACGGGGCTTCTTCACACCCTTTGCAGCCGCGGCAGGCTCGGTCTTTACAGCCTTGGCGGGCTTAATGGAAGCAGCGGCTGCTGCTGGGCGCTTCCGTGCTGGCGCCTCAGTCTTGACCTCAGCGTCCTTCTCTGCAGCTGCTTTCGCAGCTTCCTTCTTAGCTGCGGCTTTCGCCTTCGCTTCCTCCTTCTGCTTGCCCTTACGCTTCTTGAGGGCCTCGATCGCAGCACGGGTGTGGGGGTCCAAGTCCTCTAAGCACGGCCCGTCGTCATCATCGGCGGCGTCGTGCTCCGCATCGCCCTCGGGTTCATGCTTCTCAGCCTTTATAGCGCCCTGCTCCTCACGTTTAGGGGTTTCGAGCTCACGCTTGGCAGACGGCTCATGCTTGGCAACCTTCAGCGTCCCATCAGGAGCTCGGTGGACAGCCAAGCTGGCTCGTGGCTCTTCTTTCACGGGAGGTGATTCAGGGCCCCGCGCAGCCGATTGGCTTTTCTCTTTGCGGTACTCGAGCAACTTGTGCTGGTACTCGTAGAACAAACCCATCTCGTACGGGTCAGTCGGTGATGGGATGAGCGCCCCTGCTGGTGATGCGGTGCGTGCGTCGGCTGTGGGCGCTGGTGCGATGTCATGGCTGTGGGCGGTGTCAAGCTCTTCCTTTGCTGCTTGAAACTTTGCTTTAACACCTGGTTCAAAGGACGACTTCAGCTTGCTATTGTTGGAGCGCAACGATATACTGTCAGCTACTGTGTTGATGCCCTTGAGCTCGATCGTGATCGGCTGGTCATCATCAGGGTAGGCGGACTGGAAGATGTCTGTTGGGAGCTCCGATGGTGAAGCTGGGTATTCCAAGATGCGCGAGAATCCGAAGTCTTTTTTTTCGGACTTGAAACAAGCCTTGAAATCTTTCAGTAAATCCCAAAGTTTTTTTGGCTCTGGTGGGGTCTCGTAGTGCGTGATTGCTAGTAGGGCTGTCCCCCACCTGAACGTATGCTGGGAAGGATCGTTGCAACCGACGGCCATGGCGCGCTCGACCATCGTCGTCATCTTGCGGTTCACCGACAGTTTCGGGTTTTTGAGCACATCCCAGTCCGAAGACGTTAGGTAACACCACCACTCCTTAAGCGATTGCTTACCAGAGCCTTCTGGCTTGACGGGGC